CTTACACGTCGTCAGTGACATCACTGAACCTCGGTTTCATTTTTCACTCTCCAATCACATTTCAATAGTTGTATATTTAAACAGTTGTTGCACTGTTGTAAATTGTCTTGATAAAAGTCAGTTTGGACTGAAACGTTGACTTTACATGCATTTATTTGCTCAAATAAAACACTAATTTGAATTTAAAAGCCCTATGGGTGCACTCTTTGTGGATTATACAGAGTGGCTGGAGTTCGCACCGAGGTAAGTAACAAGAACGGTTCAAATGAGTGCGGGGAACAAGGATTTCTATAAAAATAAAAAATATATATGTATTTGTAAAATTACCCTCCGTGAGGTAACAGACAAAGAAAATTAGAAACCTAGAATGTGACGGCAGATAAAAACCCTCACACACAGCACCCCTCTTACATACACACACACTGCGCCCCTCACACATACAATATGTCCAAATATATACACACACACTACAGCACCGCTCAAACTGCACCACTACACACATTACACTCCAGATACACGCTAGATCCCTTACCCTATATGCAATCTTTTTTTCAATTTGACAATTTTTATTTGTCTTTCATAGGATGATAGGGTACAGAAAGGAAAAGTGGGATGGGGTAAACATTAATACATGCACAATAAAATGATACAGAACAAGTGTTGTATTATTGATTATTCATTTGACACACTAGGCATATTTAAGTGTTCTTCTGTTGTACATCTTACACAGTTGGTTGCTAAGTGGTCTTTGTCTAGGAACATTCCTGTCTAGTGGTGGAGGACCCACTCCATTATGTTTCCGTGTCCGCTCTCAGTATACTAGGAGGTGTATAGTTTGATTATCGAGCTAGGGGATCAGTATGTGTCAGATGCGACTCGAGCCGTGCAATTAGATTAGGACAGTTTTACCTTATAGCGTGAGAATCTTCTCCCCTAAACTTCTTGTTGTTTTTTTTGTTTTTTGTTTTTGTCAGGTTTGTATTGTTTGTGCATATAATATAGCGGGGGGTACAGAAAAGAAGAAGGGGAGGGTGAGCGGTTAGGGTACATTGTTCATATTCATGCTTATACATGTTAGACATTCCTAACGAACTTGGTCTTATATGGGTGGTGTTTTGTTGCTAGTGGGGTGGGTCAAGGTCTAGCCATTCGACCTGTGGTGCCCTATCCTATCTTGCGTTCCCTATGACTAGTTGTTGTCGCCTTAGTTGGGGGGGGGGTGGAGATTGGGAGAGGTGGGTATGGAGAGAAGGTGAGGAGGGTGTGTGGACCCGGCACCATTCACGTATTGCTCCTGTTTCTTTGTCACGTTTCATTTGTTATTTGCAGCGTGGTGCTTGGGTCCTTACCCCTCGAACTATGTACATTGTGGGTTCATATTCCGCCACGCCCTAGCGCTGGTGTATTGTTTGGGCAATTCCCAGATATCTCGTTCTTTTGTGGGGACCTTCTTCTCTAGACCTCCATTCTAGTGGTTGACTTACTCGTCTTGCACTCTCCATCTTGTGTCTCTAAGTCCAGCCTCCCTTGTTTTTTTTTCTTGTCTATATCTCCTCCCCCGTCTTTGTTATGTAGGTTTCCCACTCATCTTTGGCTTGTATGATATGTTTTGCTGGGCGGAACTGCTGGCTAGTCCCTATTTCGTAGATCAGGTTGAGTGACGTCTGTTCTATCAGGTCAGTCCTAGTGGGTGTCTGTGTCTGTTTCCATCTCCTGGCTAACAGGAGGTTTGCTGCTGTCAAGATGTGAAATAATAGGCCCGCTTGTGGCTTTGGGTGGGAGTCCAGTGTTATAAATAGTAAGGCACATTCTGGGCTTAGCTTAGTATCGACTCTTAATGCCCCCCTAACTGTTGCCTCCACCATATTCCAGTATTCCTTGAGCCTTGGGCAGGTCCACCAGATGTGGTACATTGTGCCCTCCCCTGCTAAGCATCTCCAACATAATTTGGAGGAGTTAGGGTAAATGGTCGCCAGTCTCGTTGGCACCAGATACCATCTGTATTGTATCTTGCGCATGAGCTCTAAGTGCAATGCACATCTGGATCTGCCTTTATGAGCCGTAAAAGCCAGGGTCCATTGGTCATCTGAGAATATTGTACCTATGTCTCTGTGCCATGCGTCTCTAAAATTGTCTGTCTGTAATTGTTGGTTGGAGTCACTGAGCAGAGTATATAGTAGTGAGAGTGGTTTCTTAGGCATGGTCATCGATACACACGCTCTTTCTACACTTTGTGTATGTTACGGGACGTTTAGGGAGGTGTCATGTGTTAATATTCCCTTTAGTTGCAGGTAAGAAAATATCATTCTTTGCGGAAGGTTGTACTCTATTTGTAGTTCTGGGAAGTGTCTTAGTTGTCCCTGCCCGTACAGGTGATGAACTAGGGTACATCCTTTTTTCAGCCACGTACGGTGGTCGAAAGCAGGGTATGCTAAATGTATGCTATATATGGGAGTGGCCAGCGCCCAGTCGGTGGTATATCCGAGCTTTGGCTTAGATTTATCCCAGGTTTTCAATAGGATATCAGTGGTGGCTGGTATTTCTGGGAGCGGAGGGCGTAGCCTGTGTGGTACCCAGAAGAGGTATTTAAGACCTTTGGGACAAGTCCAGGTTGATTCCATTTCTATCCATTGTGGTGGGTTTTGGGCAGTGTGTGCTTGTAGGGCTGTGGTCAGTAGAGCCGCTCTGTAGTACCTCTGTAACTCTGGCATTCCCAACCCTCCCTGAGCTAGGGTTCTAGTGAGAATCTTCGTGGCTACACGTATTTTTTTGTGTGCCCAGACGAAGCTAGTGATGGTATTTTGCAGCCGTCTCAGGTATGTGTTTGGTAGGGGGATCTGTAGAGTTCTAATTAAGTATTGAAATTTTGGTAGGAGCATCATCTTCACTGCCGCCAGTCTCCCCACCCATGACATATATTTGTCTTCCCATTTCTTCAGTGTGTCGCTTATTTCCCCCTGTAGTTTGCCATAATTAAGGTCCATAAGACCTTGTGGGGTCTTTGGGATCCGTAGACCCAGAAACGTGAGGTGGTCATCTCTCCAGTCCAATGGGAATGAAAGTTTTAGGTGTTCTATGGTATGATGTGGTATCCCTATCCCCATAGCTTGGGTTTTCGTGACATTTAGTTTGTAGTATGATTGCTCCCCATATCTTTCTATTTCCTGCAGGAGATTTGGTAGTGATATGTGCGGTTATGTAAGTGTGAGTAGTATGTCATCTGCAAACAAATTTGTTTTGTACTCTCTAGCTCCTATCTCCAGACCGTGTATCACAGTGTTTTCCCGTATTTTGATCGCCAGCGGCTCCAGCGCTAGGACATATAACAGGGGGGACAAGGGGCAGCCCTGCCTTGTGCCATTCGTGAGTTGGAACGGTTCGGACAGAAATCCTGTGTTGAGTACTCTTGCTGAGGGCTTGCTATATAGGGCCTGTACCACCGACACAAACCCCAAGGGGATCTCTAATTTGTTCAGCACTGCTCTAAGAAACCCCCAATGGAGGCGGTCAAAGGCTTTTTTCGGCGTCGAGGGAGACCATCAGTCCCCCCTGACGCCGATTTTTCAGGTGGTGGAGGATGTTAATAACCTTCCTGGTATTGTCTGCCTCTTGTCTTCTCTTGACGAAGCCCACCTGGTCATTGTGAATTATGTGTGGTAGTATTTTTCCCAACCTATTTGCGTACAGTTTAGCGAATAACTTCGCATCTGTATTGAGGAGGGAGATGGGTCGAAAGTTTTGCGGAATTGTCGGGGCCTTGTTCGGTTTAGGGAGTGTGACGATGTGGGCGGCCAGTGTTTCTCTAGGGAGTTCGCCCTTGTGGGTTGCCTCCTTAAACATTCTGGCTAGGTAGGGCGCTAGTATTGTGCTGAATTGCTTATAGTACTGGTTGTCAAACCCATCTGGTCCTGGGGATTTTCCCGATGGGAGGCTTTTAATTAGGTCCCTAATCTCCTGGATTTCTATCGGTTCAATAAGGGCCGACTGTTGTTGGGGCGTGAGCTTGGGTAGCTTTACCTCGTCAAGATATTCCGTGATACCAAGTTGTGTTGGGTGTTTTGTTTGCGCGTCTTCCTGAATGTTGTATAGCGACGAGTAGTACTTTGCAAATACCTCGCTTATTCCCTTAGGGGTGGAGATTTTAGTGCCTGTTTCGTCTGTGAGGTAAGATATATTTTCTGAGCCGCCTGTCTTGTTTTTAGTCGCTGTGCCAGTAGTTTGCTTGCTTTGTTGCCCTGTATGTAATGGGTTAGTTTGAGCTTTTGCATGTTGGAGGTCACTATGGCTAACGCCTGCTGGTGTATGAGTTTTGTGATCTGGGCTATCTTAGCTTTCGTCTCTGTAGACGGGGTGTGTTGGTTCAGTCTGTTCACCTCATACAGTTCTGCTTGCCATGTCCTAAGTTGTGTTTGGCGTGTCTTTTTTATATATGTTGCCCTGCGTATTAGTAGTCCTCGAGCTACTGCTTTGTGGGCGAGCCATAGAGTTGCGTCTGTGGTATCATTTGTGTTGTTTTTCTGGAAATATGTTTGAAGGCCCCCCTTCAGGGAGTCTACAAATTCATCATCCCTCAGTAGGGAATTATTGATTTTCCACAGGCTGCGATGTTTAAAATCGTAATTATTTTTTAGCTCTATGGTTACTGTTGCGTGGTCTGACCATGTGATTTGCTGTATGTCACTATGAAGGAGTTGGTCTAGCGCTGACCCTGAGATTAGGAAGCCGTCTATTTTAGAGTAGGAATTATGTACCGCTGAGTAGTGGGTATATGCCCTTTCTACCGGGTGAGTGGTTCTCCACGTTTCATATAGATGGTGGTCATGCAGGAGTTTCGCTATGGCTCTACATTGTCTCTTGAGGGGGCGGTGGTGTTTCCGGTGTGGTGGGAGAGTTGTGTCTAGTTGTGGGTCCATTATGTGATTAAAGTCTCCCCCTATTACTGTAATACCTGTTTGGATTTGGTCTATTTTGGTCAAGATTTCATGCAAGAAATTTCTCTGGTTTGTATTCGGGGAGTATATGTTGGCGATGGTATATAACATGTCATTAAACAGCCCCGTGAGTATGATGTAGCGGCCATTCGGGTCTATGTCTGCTGAGTGTAGTGCGAATGAGACGGCTTTGTGTATTAGGATGGATGCTCCTTTTGCTTTCGTGGGTGATGTGGCGTGGAATTGATGTGGGAAGTCGGTGGTCAGAATAGGTGGGTGGTCGTTGTGCTTAAAGTGGGTTTCCTGGAGGCATAGTATATCTGCCCCTAGGGCTCTAGCCTCCCTGAAAAGTAGGTGTCTTTTGACTGGTGCGTTGAGGCCCCTGACATTAAAAGAGCAGATCTTCACGGTGGTTTATGGTTGTGGTACTCATTAGTTCTCGCGCGGTAGTCTATGACTTGAGGGGTCCCTGCTCTCCCTAGCTTTGTCGAGCTGAGCAGTGTGGCTCCCTGTGTGATGGGCATTGTCCCTATTGGGCTTGCAGAGCAGTCTGGGACCATGGTCTTGTCTTTTGTTGGTCGCCCTAGTATTCGCGTGGCGGTTTGTGTTGGGTTACCCACTAACCCTATCTTCTGTTTGTTGGTAAAACGCAAAACTTGTGGGGTATAAACATTGCATACAACAACATACAATAAAACAATAACATTAACAAAAGTATTTACATAAACATACATATCCCTTGTTCGTGCCGGTAGGTCGGCTAGGCACTGCATGGTCGTGCCTTGGATGGAGGAGGCTCATTGCCTCTCGTCCATTGGGAGCTGTCTCCCTCTGCGGCTATTTCTGTTTTTCTCGTTGGGAGGTCCCAACTGTAGGCTATAGCCTAGGAAAGTGAAACTGGTTGTATATACCAATATGTTGCTTGTATTGTTAAGTGTTTTTTTTTTTCCTGAGTTAATAGCATTGATCTGGCCCAGTTCCCCTGTGTCTATTTTAGGTATATGTTAAGAGAATGTGTGTGGGTGTCTCTACGGCTGATCACCTCTTAGTCGGCAGGTAAATTATGCTGACGTGGTTCGGCCTGTTAGTCTGGGCGGGGCTTACTAGGCTATGGTTTTTAATTCTTTTGGTCCCTCTATTCTATAGTATGGAGTCCCCCACCTGTCCCCTTGCTCAGTCTGGAGCATTTAAGTTACCCTATGGGTGTGATGTAGTTTCGTACATTACCCTGCCTCTCGGTAGGTAGTCTTTGTCTCTTTAGGTGCTATAGAGCACTCCCACTCACAGTCTCTGTCTTTTATCTCTTTTTCGCCTTCTTCCATTCCTGTGAGGCCTTGGCTCTGTTTCTCCCTTGGTCCGTCGATGGAGTAATTTCTATGTTCCAATCCCGCATGATTCGTTGGCTGTCCTCCGGGGATCCGATGACAGTGGTCTTCCCCTCTCTCATCACCAGGAGCTTGGTGGGGTAACCCCATCTGTACGGGATATGGTTGTCTCTGAGCTGTGTAGTTATGTCTCGGAAATCTCTCCTTCTCTTTAGGGTGAATGAGGAGATATCCGCATATATGGTAACTCCTCTGAAGGCCGTAGGCCAGTCTTTCCGTCTCCTGCTAGCGTTGAGTATTGCTTCTTTAGCGTGGTAATAGTGCATTCGTAGCAGGATGTCTCTTGGAGTGTCTGCTGGCAGGAATTTTGGTTTGGCGGTTCTGTGGATTCTGTCTAACAGGAACAAGTCCTGTGGCAGGTCTGGAGCCAGTTCCTTCAGCAGGCCTGTGATGTGGGCGGTGAGGTCTTCTGTTTTTACCTCTTCCGTAACTCCCCTTACTCGCAAGTTGTTGCGGCGTGCCCGGTCCTCCATATCCGCAATCTTGAGGTCCTGGTTATCCAGTCTTGTTACTAGCCCCTCTACCTTGTCTGCTAGGGAGTTGTGGGCCTCTGCCATCTCCAAGAGCTGGTCCTCTGTATGTGATGTACGTTGGCCTATATCCTGTAGTTCTCTTCTGAGATCTTTGATAACGCTGTCCATTTTCCCCACAATCTTATCGGACATTTCCTCTAGCAGTTTTTTCAGAGTGCTGTGGGTCAGTGGGTTGTCACTTTCATTTTCACCAGCCTGGGTCTCTGTTTCCAGTTCCCCTCCAGCGGCATCTTGTGAGTGCTCTGCCTGGATTGAGGCCTTCCCCTGCCCTGCTCTGGAGGCAAAGAAGCTGCTTCTCTCACCCCTCTCGCCGGTCCTCTTACTTTTTGGCTGGGACATTGTAGCAGCGGGCGGCATCTGTTTTTCTTTAGCCCAGGTAAGATGCTTCTGACGTTTGTTGTTCAGGAGCGGCTTGACAAGAGGAATACGACATCTGAAGCCCCTGTCCAGGATCAGTCTGTGTGTGGTGGCTCTTGATGCACTGACTCCAGCCTCAGTCCACTCCTTGTGAAAGTCCCCAACACTTTTGAATTGCCTTTTTCTGACAATCCTCTCCAGGCTGCGCTCATCCCTGCTGCTTGTGCACCTTTTTCTTCCACACTTTTCCCTTCCACATAACTATTAATGTGCTTTGATACAGCACTTTGGGAACATCCAACTTCCTTCGCAATTACCTTTTTTGAGGCTCTCCCTCCTTATGGGGGGTATCGATGATGGTTTTCTGCACAACTGTCAGGCCAGCAGACTTCCCCATGATTTTGATTACTACCGAACCAGACTGAAAGACCATTTAAAGGTTCAGAAACCCTTTGCAGGTGTTATGGCTTACTTAGCTGATTAGAGTGGGACACTGTGAGCCTAGAATATTGCACCTTTTCACAATATTCTAATTTACTGAGATTGTGGATTTGGGGTTTTCAATAACTGTAAGCCATAATCATCACACTTATGACAAATCACGGCTTGAACTATCTTGCTTTGCATGTAATGCGTCTATCTCATATATTAGTTTCCCCTTTTACATTGCATTACTGAAATAAATGAACTTTTGCACGATATTCTAATTTTTCAAGTATCACCTGTACATATATAATGCATATATATGATTTCATTATAAGTGTATTTTGAGAGATAGGTGTGTATATATCTCAAAGTACACTTCTATATGTATATTATATTATAAAATGCTTTAATTATTTTAAAATATATATTTATATAATATAGACACTCCTCACTTACCGACCAGGTTCCGTTCCTACGAACCGGTCGTAGAACAAATCGGTTGGTAAGTGAGGAGTTAAGGGATTCCCTGCTCTGGTGCGTTGGTCTATGTTCGGGGGAAGTCTCCCTGAACATAGACATGCGCACCGGAGCAGGGAATCCCCATGACGGCTCGCACATGCGCCTGGTTGTAAGTGTGCGCCGTCATAAAACAGGTAGGTCGCTAAATGAGAACCATCTATATATGCATAATATATTTATTTTATTTACTTAGTATGAAATTATATACATATATATATCTCCATGTACATTTAAACAAAATGGAGGCTCTCTGTTTAAATGCACATGGGGATTTAGAGCAGGGCGCAGGTAACGTTCTCTTTGTTTTTACTATGTATTTTAAGCTGTTAGATTCTAAGCTACTGCTGCTGTAAGCGCGGTGATTTATCTTTGTGTTTGTGTGTGTATGTGTATATATATATATATATATATACATACACATATATATATATATATATATATATATATATATATATATATATATAGTGTGTGTATGTACTGCTCAAAAAAATAAAGGGAACACTTAAACAAAAACAACACAATGTACCTCCAAGTCAATCACACTTCTGTGAAATCAAACTGTCCACTTAGGAAGCAACACTGAGTGACAATCAATTTCACATGCTGTTGTGCAAATGGGATAGACAACAGGTGGAAATTATAAGCAATTAGCAAGACACCCCCAACAAAGGAGTGGTTCTGCAGGTGGTGACCACAGACCACTTCTCCGTTCCTATGCTTCCTGGCTGATGTTTTGGTCACTTTTGAATTCTGGTGGTGCTTTCACTCGAGTGGTAGCATGAGATGGAGTCTACAACCCACACAAGTGGCTCAGGTAGTGTAGCTCATCCAGGATGGCACATCAATGCAAGCTGTGGCAAGAAGGTTTGCTGTGTCTGTCAGCGTAGTGTCCAGAGCATGGAGGCGCTACCAGGAGACAAGCTAGTACATCAGGACACGTAGAGGAGGCTGTAGGAGGGCAACAACCCAGCAGCAGGACCGCTACCTCTGCCTTTGTGCAAGGAGGAATAGGAGAAGCACTGCCAGAGCCCTGCAAAATTACCTCCAGCAAGCCACAAATGCGCATGTGTCTGCTCAAACGGTCAGAAACAGACTCCATGAGGGTGGTATGAGGGCCGACCTCCACAGGTAGGGGTTGTGCTTACAGCCCAACACCGTGCAGGACGTTTGGCATTTGCCAGAGAACACCAAGATTGGCAAATTCACCACTGGCGCCCTGTGCTCTTCACAGATGAAAGGTTCACACTGAGCACATGTGACAGACGTGACAGAGTCTGGAGACGCCGTGGAGAACGTTCTGCTGCCTGCAACATCCTCCAGCATGACCGGTTTGGCAGTGGGTCAGTAATGGTGTGGGGCATTTCTTTGCCGCAAAGCACTCCATGTGCTCGCCAGAGGTAGCCTGACTGCCATTAGGTACCGAGATGAGATCCTCAGACCCCTTGTGAGACCATATGCTGGTGCGGTTGGCTCTGGGTTCCTCCTAATGCAAGACAATGCTAAACCTCATGTGGCTGGAGTGTGTCAGCATTTCCTGCAAGACGAAAACATTGATGCTATGGACTGGCCTGCCCGTTCCCCAGACCTGAATCCAATTGAGCACATCTGGGACATAATGTCTCGCTCCATCCACCAACGTCACGTTGCACCACAGACGTCCAGGAGTTGGCAGATGCTTTAGTCCAGGTCTGGGAGGAGATCCCTCAGGAGACCATCTGCCACCTCATCAGGAGCATGCACAAGCGTTGTAGGGAGGTCATACAGGCACGTGGAGGCCACACACACTACTGAGCCTCATTTTGACTTGTTATAAGGACATTACATCAAAGTTGGATAAACCTGTAGTGTGTTTTTTCCACTTTAATTTTGAGTGTGACTCCAAATCCAGACATCCATGGGTTGAAAAATGTGATTTCCATTTTTTTATTTTTGTGATTTTGTTGTCAGCACATTCAACTATGTAAGAACAAAGTATTTAAGAAGAATATTTAATTCAGATCTAGGATGTTATTTTTGTGTTCCCTTTATTTTTTTGAGCAGTGTATATATACATATATATTTATTAATTCTTAAACTTTTTTTTTTTTACTTTTTCCCCAGCAAGGGGACTGCCTGTCAGTTCAGGCAGTCCCCCTGCTGGCAGCACTGTGGACACCTATTGACACCTATGTGGACACTCTTTTAGAGCAGTCACATGGCCCCTGGGGGTCTTAAAGGAGGATTGTCTGTGCTCTTCACTTAGAAGAAGACCGATCACTGGCGGGGGAATGGTGGTGATCGGTAAATACATGGGGAGGGAGAGGGACGGTTAATTTTGTTTAGTTCATTTTTAAAATTTATTTTAACAGAGGGCTCCGACCCCTTAAGGCACTCAGTACAGGCCCTGCACCACGTGCAAGTGTGGAGGGTATTCCTTGATGCCTCGATATCGAGAAATATATATTAATACAATTTACCGTTGACGTATGAGGTACATCCGCGGTCCTTAAGGACCGTTTTTTTTTTTTGGGTTCGGACGTACCTCATACGTCCACTGTCCTTAAGGGGTTAACCATACCCTGCACTAATAGTTGGCACAGGGTGACCAAAACACCAGAGTAAACTGGGAAATCTACATCTAGTGTCTGTCTTCCATTCCCAGTGACGGTGACTACCGTCACCGAGGCTGATTGGACAGGGCTGTGTTTGGCTTATGTGGGCTCTGCCCCTGATCTACCTTCTTGACAGTCTCAGGTATTCCTAGGGGAAAACATTGTAACTAGCTCAGAGAATTACTTCTGATGATGTTAGCAAAGCAAGCACATCAGGTGCAAAACCAGTAGCTGTAGCCTTAAACAAAAGTAAGATTTTACTATATTTAGGGGGAACCCGGGGGTTTTAACTAAAAAGCTTAATGGTGGTTTTAACACTATAGTTTAAGAAATACATGTTTGTGTTCCTGACCCTATAGTGTTACTTTAATTATGGATTGAGAATACAAAAATATAAATAACATCAGATAATGTTATAAAGTGCTTTAATAAATGATTAGCAGAATATCTAGCTTGCTGCTCTAAATAACAAGTGTCTCACACACACAAAAAAATATAAATAAACCAACATCTATAGTGCACACAGTCCTATAAACAGCCACCAAACATAGTGGTATATTGTAAAAAGGGAAATACCTCCCCTTTAGATAAAGCATACAACGATTCCACAGTCTTCTGATACACAGGATAAGTAGTATATAAAAGTCTACATAAATAATAGAAAAAAGATAAGCGAGACTAGCATCTCAGAGCACTATAATTGGTTGGCTTACAACACGGCAAATTTCCCCACACAATATAGTAGCTGACATAGAATGAGAGCCTTTATAAGGAGTTTCCCTGCTAGGAGAGCTCAATCTGAGGCAGAGATGCAAATATTTAATTGTGAGCTGCGTGCTTCCCTCCTGCCAGTAACCCAAACATTTGCGCCCCCAGACACCTGCCATATGGTACAGGATTCAGATGCAAAAGCAACAATTTTAATCGGATACCAAATGCATTCAGGCGATTGCTGCAGCTTCACTTTGAATTCCCGGTGATTCTCACTTAGTGAATAACCCTATTAAACTATCTCACAGGGTTATTTACAAAAGTGAATTTCAAAAAAAGAGTGGAGCGAGCGAAAGATGGTGGAAATGTAACCACCTTCCCTAAATGGGGGTGTATCAGATATTACCAAGCTTGGATGATGCTTTAATCCAGTGGATATCAAGGCATGTATGAAAGAAAATAAAAATACATAGCATAATTCTATGGTAAAGGGTGAGAAACGTATCTACGTTGCAGGTTAACAAGTCACATGGAGTAGAGCCTCAGATAGGACAGGCTCAAATCTCTTTAGCAGTAGTGCTGGCTGGTGGCACTTTCCCCTTTAATTCAAATAATTCTCAGAGAATAAGACAAAAGCAGTAGAATAGAAAATTCTTTCTGGTGTACTAGGTTACAATATAGATATGGAGGTATTAAGTGCAAGTTATTGCTCACAGGCGATGAACCTGGCTCTGGGTGGAATGGCTGAGGTGAATGTAAAGAGGGCACCACCCTTCTTTGTAGCAGCAAATTGGAGGACTCAAAGAGGACTTAAATGTATAAAAGAATTTATTACAATACTAAAAAACTTGCAAACAAATAAAAACTCTGTATATAAAAGAGTGTATGCTGTCCAACATGGATTCCTTCCCAAGACGCGTTTTACCCTGTATAAGGGCTTTTTCAATCAGTGAACTTTCTTATTTATATTCTAAAATCTTAAATAAAATATTTTCCCAACTCTTGAATTTCTAGTTGCTTGTCTGATATTTTCATAGATATCATGCGAGAGCTTAATGGCCTTATAACGGAACAGTCAGGTACTCTGGTGTTTTGGTTGTTCAACATAAAATATGCAAGTAGAAAAATGACGGTTTCTGGAAGTATGAAACATGGGGAATATTACCCAGTCTACTTAAATATCTCCTGACAGATGACCCTTACTGAATGTACGGCCAGTAACGATTCAGCTGAAGTGGTAGAGGTTAACACAGTAAGTGGTAGAGGTTAACACAGTAAAGGAGTTTAAGCATGCATGGGATAGGCATAAGGCTATCCTAACTATAAGATAAGGCCAGGGACTAATGAAAGTATTTAGAAAATTGGGCAGACTAGATGGGCCGAATGGTTCTTATCTGCCGTCACATTCTATGTTTCTATGTTTCTATGATTCACGAACAGGTATTCACCAAAGTGTGAATTTAAATTGTTAGGCAGGAATGAAAATAAAGCTTGTTTGGACACTTTTTCAAGTTTGTTTATTTTGTTCTGAAAATTTAAAACTCCCATTGCATTCATACTTTAGTGAATTTTATTTTTTATTTTTATTAAATGTACTTCTACACTTATTAAAATGACAAAACTATGACTATCACCTGAAAACAAAATCTAGCAACTATTCCCATGTTCCAACCATCAGAATACAGAAAGTACTGCTTTAGCATGGTTATTTATCATTTGTGCAGGTTCTCATGCGAGTCAGTTCAGTAAGCATTCCTTGCTCCAAGCGATATTGACACTGATAATGGTAAAAGGGTGATTTCAATTATCCATGACGCCATTGCTTTTACTTATTTCATATCATGGTTATGCTCATTTCTCCCTTCCGTTTTACTTCACTCACCTTTACTTTACTTTCCCAGACAATTTTCAATAGCAAACCCATTTACTGACTTTGCTACCTCTAAACATAGCATCTCTAACACATATAAGGACATTTATTTGAAGAACCTTCATGGTCTATATTTCTACCCAACCTACAAATGCACATTGACACTCTACAATTGGGTAAATGTTCTAAATACTCAGCTTCAATGTCAATGAACCTTATGTAGTATTATTTCTTCCAGAGAGATCCCACCTTCTTTACTTTGACTTTATTATTATTTCCTTTCCTTTATACTTGAATACAGTTCATGTATATTTTTTCTACCAGTTTCTTGCTACTTATTTGGTGTTACCAAGTATCTAGCATGTGTTTTTACAATTGATTTCATGTTTCTCAATGTGCTTTCACATTTGAAAAGTCAATAAAATATTATAAATAATATTTTTTTTCAATTCTAACGCAACTCACTATTGCGTGGAATATTCAAGAAGTATAAAAGGATTTGTATAGGGGGCGGAGCCTGGCTTCAGAGCTGAGCAGACGTGGGGAATCAGAGGTCCCGCATCTCAAGTGTGTTTTGGGGGTAATAAAACCCTACAAACAGACGACCAAACCCACCCACGGCACCTTCTGAACCCCGGTACCTGACTGCACAATCCGAGACCTTACTCAGGCCTGTAACCGGCGGGGAACCGGAACACCTCTGTTGCGGCCTATTGGAGGGGAGACTGGGAGAAGCGGCCGTTCTCCTTGTTTCCAGACCTCGGGCCCGTTCTAACTGCTATCCCCCACCCCTTGGACCGGCGGGGGTTATCCCGGTCCTCACGGGCATATCGTATGTGATTCAAGCTGTACTTACCTACGCTTTCTGGCTGCAGAAGAGCTGAACTCCGACCACGTGGCTCAGGCAAAATGGCGACCGCCCCCTCCACTGCACAAGGAGCACTGGGCCTGCCTAAACCACCTCACCCTGGGTCACTGGAGCACACACTGCACAAGCTGGACAAAATATTCCGGAGCTTTTGGGCACGTATACATGAACGGGCACAAGCTCCCATCACTGAGCACCGTGCAGCCAGCATGGGAACCATCCTAACAAAACCGAACAGCCCTCCTCAAGGCAAACACGCAACACCAGTTCAACTCAATGCCTGCCCTTCAGTGCCGAGACCTCCCAAAGGCAAAGCCTCAGCGACTTCACCTCAAAAGCGGAAGACAGCCCGCCGCCGACGGTCCTTTACGGCTAGACCCCCTACTGTCTCCAGACGGCGCAGGGTCTTGGCTCCTGGGAACACCCAAACCCGAGGATCAGGGAAGCAAGCCCCCACTGAAGCCGGGAGATGGTGGAGAGCCCAGCATAGGCACAACCTTGCAGCGGGCCACACGGTCACAGAGCGGATCCTTGCTAAAGAGCTGCGGGCCTCAAGATCTGGCGTTGGCTGAGTAGCTAACATAAAACTGGCTACCTAGGTCCCGCACCCGCTATAAGCATCATTGGGACACCTGTTGATCTTACCCATTCTGCTGCCATGCTTAATTCCTGACTGCTAAGGATTCTTTCATGCAGATGAGCAAGGTTTTCGTTGATTTCTACTATTTAGCACCTATTGATTTTTTTTTTCTATGTCTGTCTCATTTCTGTAGCTTTGCAATAGGTGCTTTGTCAACTCGTGTGTAACCCACTGACTTCATAGCCCAGTACCTTGTTAGCCATGAGAGTGCATCGAGTGCACCCTACCATGTTGTCTGCCAACTCAGTAATGCAAAATGTGTACCTAAACTATTTTAACTATGATTTAAGTCTTTGCTTTCATTTCCTTTTCACAAGCCTGTTGTTGGACAGCGAACTGCAGACTCAATCTAAACACCCAGACAGATAAGCGAGACTAGTCAGCAAAAGCTTATACGTTATCTATTGTTTTATAATGAGCCTACTAACTTAGCTAATACAACTAAACGGTTTGAACAAACAATGTATATGACTTAATAATTAATCTTATCGAGCAACACATACTAAGCGAGGCCTTTACCATCAGTTGTTTTATACCTGCATCTACCTTCACTCCTATAAAGTTAAACAAGCAAGCCTAGCCTGTGTATTAATATACTTAAAAACTGTGCCACTTTCTCATGTCATATATATGTTCTACACTGTTATCGCTGTTTACTAATGCTGTCGTGAGTGAGTGAGTGAGCTTGTGTTTTTATGCCAATGAGCTTATGTATATCAGTGACATTGTTTGTCTATGAGGCTGTGTATCAATGAGCGTGTGTGTCTGTCTGCATGTGAGTATGCTTACTGTATAATTAAAGGACCACTCTAGGCACCCAGACCACTTCACTTGGGTGCCTGGTCCAGCTAGGGTTAACCCATTCTTTTATAAACATAGCAGTTTCAGAGAAACTGCTATGTTTATAAATGGGTTAAGCCTTCCCCCAAAGCCTCTAGCGGCTGTCTAATTGACAGCCGCTAGAGGCGCTTGTGTGCTTCTCACTGTGATTTTCACAGTGAGAGCACGCCAGCGTCCATAGGAAAGCATTGTGAATGCTTTTCTATGCGACCGGCTGAATGTGCGCCCAGCTCTTGCCGCGCGTGCGCATTCAGCCAATGGGCGGAGAGAAAGAGGATCGGAGGAGGAGAGCTCCCGCCCAGCGCTGGAAAAAGGAAAGTTTTTACCCCTTTCCCCCTTCCAGAGTCGGGCGGGAGGGGGACCCTGAGGGTGGTGGCACCCTCAGGGCACTATAGTGCCAGGAAAACGAGTATGTTTTCCTGGCACTATAGTGGTCCTTTAAACATTTTGCTCTGAAAGGACCAATATTATATATTAGAAAAAGCTATATCTATTCAAGAGATTATAATATATATATATATATATATATATATATATATTATAATTACTTAACCATCTGGGGTGGCAAGACATTGCCTTACATATTACATACGGCAATATATGGCGCAATGACTTATGGGGTTGGCATAGATTTTTTTTTTCCAGGGCTGCTTTGTATCCCCAGTCCAGCCCTGAATATAGGGCTACAATCCCAATAATGTCACTGAATGGCAAAGAAATAAGAAGAATTCAAACTTGGGGAAAAAAAGGGAAAGGAAATGTTTTTATTTTCATATAGGGTAATGAAAAACATGGCCGGTTTATAAATTGCTTTGAATTATTTATTTTTTTACTGTCATATTTAGTTTTTTTTGGTTTTTTTTTTAAAGATGCACTTTCGAGCTTTAAATGGTCCTCCCTATATTACAATATATAGTCTTGCAGTACATGCATACATAGAGAGATAGAGTTTGTGTGAGGCTGAATTGATTAAAGGACCACTATAGTGCCAGGAAAACATACCTTCCCCATAGCTCTCTGCTCAGCTCCCTCGCGCACCGCCCACCCAGCAGCCTCTGTACCCCAGGGAAAGGGAGACCCCCCCAGCATTCCCAAAGGTAAGGAGGCTGGGGGGGGTTGAATTACATTTTTTTTTTTTTTTTTAAATGAGTGTGTTAATGTAAGTGTGTGTGTGTCAGGGAGTGCCTTTTAGGGAGTGTGTTACTATGTGTGTATCTGTTAGTGAGAGTGCATGCATGTCTGTTAGTGAATGTGTGTGTCTGTTAGTGAGTGTGTATGTCTGTTAGCTAGTGTATGCGTGTCTGTCAGTGAATGTGTGTGTGTGTGTGTTTTTTTAGAAGGTGGGGCAGGGTGGGATGGCGTGGGGGGGGGCGCCTGAGTTTTGTCATGCCTAGGGCAGCACACAACCAGGATACACCACTGATTACATCTCCCATAGAGCTCTTGCAGCCATAATGCTGCAAAGAATCAGGGGAGATGTAGTGCACAACATCTGCAGTGCTGATGGTTGCCTACCCCTGGTCTAAGAGAAAGTTATGCCTGCAAAAGGGGAAGGTGCATGCTTTGTGTGAGAGCAGCAGCAGGGAGAGAAAAGGCCAGAAATTATGTATTGCAGGCACTTTGGACAGGCAATGTGAGAATGGAGGGAGAGAGAACAGATTAACAGGTTTTATACCATAAAGCTAACATAAGGTGCAAGCAAGTCTGTGCTGCCCAAACAGGAGAGGTGTGTCTTACAGCAAGTATAACAACCACTGAAACATGATTTATGCTCTCAGGAGGAGACAGGGTTAATGTCAATAAATTAAAATATGAACTTTAAATCATAAAAAGGGAAGAAATACTAAATTGCAAAACATGAATCAAGCCAGATGTTTAGAAAACTGCATACCTATATCTGTTTTGACCATTTAATTTTAACAGTGTGTAGAAGTCAGAAGTAGGAGTGTTTTAACCCTCTTTGTAGCATGTTGTATGTAGTCATCATATTCAAGGCCTTATTTCATTAAAATAAATCTTTATAATGCAGCAGTAGTGGCCCCTGTGCTTATCACCAGTGTGTGTTAATAGTACATACATTATTTGTCCCAGACAGCCATATAAATAGCATGTTTAGAGTTGATCAAATTGGGAAAATTCTATGGAAACTGAACGTAGTGCAATGTTGTGCTCCCTTATGTTTAACCCCTTAAGGACACATGACATGTGTGACATGTCATGATTCCCTTTTTTTCCAGAAGTTTGGTCCTTAAGGGGTGAAAGGGAATCTTAAAAAAATATCGATTTTTGCCAAATCCTAGTCATCGTATAACCAATCTGTTTGCAGATGTTTTTATGCTAGCTAAAAGTATAAAATTATAAATAAAAACAATAGTGTAAGCTTATAGATCCATGTTTCTTTTTGAATCACATACAAGCTGTACACATGGCCAGAAATCCCTGTATTTTCAGGAATGCCTGTTCGATGCAAAGTTTCATACACCATGTCTAACGCGTGCTTGCATTACTTGTGCGGTTAGCATTTACATTTAAAGAGCAGCTGCTGTATCTGCTAGGAACACTGCTATTCTTATTCTCTGCAGTGTGAGAGTTTAGCCCCTTGCTTTAAGAATTCTATGTTTCCTATGATAGAAGGGCCAGATGATGATGGCTGTATAGAATGTCACAGGTACTGAATTGTTTTCTTCATGCCATTTACAGAAATGGAAATTTCATAGTACACTTTATTTTGAAGTAAAAAAAAATTCTTATACATTTTGAAACCCCATGTCCTCCTGGAAGAGTGCGATGCACAGCATTATGACACCTCCAAGAAAGAAACCAGCACCGTGGATGAAGATATCCTTTCCTTGGGAAAGATCAGAGGTCCCACGGTTTAACATCTGGGGGAGCTGAGAGAAACAGAAATTGTGTTCATTGCATTGCTTGTTAATAGATAAATAGAGAAAAAAAGATGAATGAATACATAATAGTGCCAAAGAGGGGTACTGGTTCATGGTCCAAACATACCATGTCTACCAATGTACAGACTGTGACTGTATAATGTTAATCCAAACATACCATGTCTACCAATGTACAGCCTGGACTGCTGTGATGTTTATACAAACATGCCATGTCTACCAATGTACAGACTGTGACTGTATAATGTTGATCCAAACATACCATGTCTACCAATGTACAGACTGTGACAGTGTAATGTTAATCCAAACATACCATGTGTACCAATGTACAGACTGTGACAGTGTAATGTAAATCCAAACATACCATGTCTACCAATGTACAGACTGTGTAATGTTAATCCAAACATACCATGTCTACCAATGTACAGACTGTGTAATGTTAATCCAAACATACCATGTCTACCAATGTACAGACTGTGACTGTATAATGTTGATCCAAACATACCATGTCTACCAATGTACAGCCTGTACTGCTGTGATGTTAATACAAACATACCATGTCTACCAATGTACAGACTGTGACAGTGTAATGTTAATCCAAACATACCGTGTCTACCAATGTACAGACTGTGTAATGTTAATCCAAACATACCATGTCTACCAATGTACAGACTGTGACAGTGTAATGTTAATCCAAACATACCATGTTTACCAATGTACAGACTGTGACAGTGTAATGTTAATCCAAACTTACCATGTCTACCAATGCACAGACTGTGTAATGTTAATCCAAACATACCATGTCTACCAATGTACAGCCTGGACTGCTGTGATGTTAATACAAACATACCATGTCTACCAATGTACAGACTGTGAATGTTAATACAAACATACCATGTCTACCAATGTACAGACTGTGTAATGTTAATCCAAACATACCATGTCTACCAATGTACAGCCTGGACTGCTGTGATGTTAATACAAACATACCATGTCTACCAATGTACAGACTGTGACAGTGTAATGTTAATCCAAACATACCATGTCTACCAATGTACAGACTGTGTAATGTTAATCCAAACATACCATGTCTACCAATGTACAGACTGTGACAGTGTAATGTTAATCCAAACATACCATGTCTACCAATGTACAGACTGTGTCAGTGTAATGTTAATCCAAACATACCATGTCTACCAATGCACAGACTGTGTAATGTTAATCCAAACATACCATGTCTACCAATGTACAGCCTGGACTGCTGTGATGTTAATACAAACATACCATGTCTACCAATGTACAGACTGTGACAGTGTAATGTTAATACAAACATACCATGTCTACCAATGTACAGACTGTGTAATGTTAATCCAAACATACCATGTCTACCAATGTACAGCCTGGACTGCTGTGATGTTAATACAAACATACCATGTCTACCAATGTACAGACTGTGACAGTGTAATGTTAATACAAACATACCATGTCTACCAATGTACAGACTGTGTAATGTTAATCCAAACATACCATGTCTACCAATGTACAGACTGTGACTGTATAATGTTAATCCAAACATACCATGTCTACCAATGTACAGACTGTGACAGTGTAATGTTAATCCAAACATACCATGTCTACCAATGTACAGACTGTGACTGTATAATGTTAATCCAAACATACCATGTCTACCAATGTACAGACTGTGACAGTGTAATGTTAATCCAAACATACCATGTCTACCAATGTACAGACTGTGACTGTATAATGTTAATCCAAACATACCATGTCTACCAATGTACAAACTGTGACTGTATAATATTGATCCAAACATACCATGTCTACCAATGTACAGAATGTGACAGTATAATGTTAATCCAAACATACCATGTCTACCAATGTACAGACTGTGTAATGTTAATCCAAACATACCATGTCTACCAATGTACAGACTGTGACTGTATAATGTTAATCCAAACATACCATGTCTACCAATGTACAGACTGTGACAGTGTAATGTTAATCCAAACATACCATGTCTACCAATGTACAGACTGTGACTGTATAATGTTAATCCAAACATACCATGTCTACCAATGTACAGACTGTGACAGTGTAATGTTAATCCAAACATACCATGTCTACCAATGTACAGACTGTGTAATGTTAATCCAAACATACCATGTCTACCAATGTACAGACTGTGACTGTATATTGCTAATCCAAACATACCATGTCTACCAATATACAGACTGTGACAGTGTAATGTTAATCCAAACATACCATGTCTACCAATATACAGACTGTGACAGTGTAATGTTAATCCAAACATACCATGTCTACCAATGTACAGCCTGGACTGCTGTGATGTTAATAGAAACATGCCATGTCTACCAATGTACAGACTGTGACTGTATAATGTTGATCCAAACATACCATGTGTACCAATGTACAGACTGTGAATGTGTAATGTTAATCCAAACATACCATGTCTACCAATGTACAGACTGTGTAATGTTAATCCAAACATACCATGTCTACCAATGTACAGACTGTGACAGTGTAATGTTAATCCAAACATACCATGTGTACCAATATACAGACTGTGACAGTGTAATGTTAATCCAAACATACCATGTCTACCAGTGTACAGACTGTGACTGTATAATGTTGATCCAAACATACCATGTCTACCAATGTACAGACTGTGAATGTGTAATGTTAATCCAAACATACCATGTCTACCAATGTACAGACTGTGTAATGTTAATCCAAACATACCATGTCTACCAATGTACAGACTGTGACAGTGTAATGTTAATCCAAACATACCATGTGTACCAATATACAGACTGTGACAGTGTAATGTTAATCCAAACATACCATGTCTACCAGTGTACAGACTGTGACTGTATAATGTTGATCCAAACATACCATGTCTACCAATGTACAGCCTGGATTGCTGTGATGTTAATCCAAACATACCATGTCTACCAATGTACAGACTGTGACAGTGTAATGTTAATCCAAACATACCATGTCTACCAATGTACAGACTGTGTAATGTTAATCCAAACATACCATGTCTACCAATGTACAGCCTGGACTGCTGTGATGTTAATACAAACATACCATGTCTACCAATGTACAGACTGTGACAGTGTAATGTTAATCCAAACATACCGTGTCTACCAATGTACAGACTGTGTAATGTTAATCCAAACATACCATGTCTACCAATGTACAGACTGTGACAGTGTAATGTTAATCCAAACATACCATGTCTACCAATGTACAGACTGTGTAATGTTAATCCAAACATACCATGTCTACCAATGTACAGACTGTGACTGTATATTGCTAATCCAAACATACCATGTCTACCAATATACAGACTGTGACAGTGTAATGTTAATCCAAACATACCATGTCTACCAATATACAGACTGTGACAGTGTAATGTTAATCCAAACATACCATGTCTACCAGTGTACAGACTGTGACTGTATAATGTTGATCCAAACATACCATGTCTACCAATGTACAGCCTGGACTGCTGTGATGTTAATCCAAACATACCATGTCTACCAATGTACAGACTGTGTAATGTTAATCCAAACATACCATGTCTACCAATGTACAGACTGTGACTGTATAATGTTGATCCAAACATACCATGTCTACCAATATACAGACTGTGACAGTGTAATGTTAATCCAAACATACCATGTCTACCAATGTACAGCCTGGACTGCTGTGATGTTAATACAAACATACCATGTCTACCAATGTACAGACTGTGACTGTATAATGTTAATCCAAACATACCATGTCTACCAATGTACAGACTGTGACTGTATAATATTGTTCCAAACATACCATGTCTACCAATGTACAGACTGTGACAGTGTAATGTTAATCCAAACATACCATGTCTACCAATGTACAGACTGTGACAGTGTAATGTTAATCCAAACATACCATGTCTACCAATGTACAGACTGTGACTGTATAATGTTGATCCAAACATACCATGTCTACCAATGTACAGCCTGGATTGCTGTGATGTTAATCCAAACATACCATGTCTACCAATGTACAGACTGTGACAGTGTAATGTTAATCCAAACATACCATGTCTACCAATGTACAGACAGTGTAATGTTAATCCAAACATACCATGTCTACCAATGTACAGACTGTGTAATGTTAATCCAAACATACCATGTCTACCAATGTACAGACTGTGACAGTGTAATGTTAATCCAAACATACCATGTTTACCAATGTACAGACTGTGACAGTGTAATGTTAATCCAAACATACCATGTCTACCAATGCACAGACTGTGTAATGTTAATACAAACATACCATGTCTACCAATGTACAGACTGTGACTGTATAATGTTAATCCAAACATACCATGTCTACCAATGTACAGACTGTGACTGTATAATATTGATCCAAACATACCATGTCTACCAATGTACAGACTGTGACAGTGTAATGTTAATCCAAACATACCATGTCTACCAATGTACAGCCTAGACTGCTGTGATGTTAATACAAACATGCCATGTCTACCAATGTACAGATTGTGACAGTGTAATGTTAATCCAAACATACCATGTCTACCAATGTACAGACTGTGACAGTGTAATGTTAATCCAAACATACCATGTCTACCAATGTACAGACTGTGTAATGTTAATCCAAACATACCATGTCTACCAATGTACAGACTGTGACTGTATAATGTTAATCCAAACATACCATGTCTACCAATGTACAGACTGTGACAGTGTAATGTTAATCCAAACATACCATGTCTACCAATGTACAGCCTGGACTGCTGTGATGTTAATAGAAACATGCCATGTCTACCAATGTACAGACTGTGACTGTATAATGTTGATCCAAACATACCATGTGTACCAATGTACAGACTGTGACAGTGTAATGTTAATCCAAACATACCATGTCTACCAATGTACAGCCTGGACTGCTGTGATGTTAATACAAACATGCCATGTCTACCAATGTACAGACTGTGACTGTATAATGTTGATCCAAACATACCATGTGTACCAATGTACAGACTGTGAATGTGTAATGTTAATCCAAACATACCATGTCTACCAATGTACAGACTGTGTAATGTTAATCCAAACATACCATGTCTACCAATGTACAGACTGTGACAGTGTAATGTTAATCCAAACATACCATGTTTACCAATGTACAGACTGTGACAGTGTAATGTTAATCCAAACTTACCATGTCTACCAATGCACAGACTGTGTAATGTTAATCCAAACATACCATGTCTACCAATGTACAGCCTGGACTGCTGTGATGTTAATACAAACATACCATGTCTACCAATGTACAGACTGTGTAATGTTAATCCAAACATACCATGTCTACCAATGTACAGCCTAGACTGCTGTGATCTTAATACAAACATGCCATGTCTACCAATGTACAGATTGTGACAGTGTAATGTTAATCCAAACATACCATGTCTACCAATGTACAGACTGTGACAGTGTAATGTTAATCCAAACATACCATGTCTACCAATGTACAGACTGTGTAATGTTAATCCAAACATACCATGTCTACCAATGTACAGACTGTGACTGTATAATGTTAATCCAAACATACCATGTCTACCAATGTACAGACTGTGACAGTGTAATGTTAATCCAAACATACCATGTCTACCAATGTACAGCCTGGACTGCTGTGATGTTAATAGAAACATGCCATGTCTACCAATGTACAGACTGTGACTGTATAATGTTGATCCAAACATACCATGTCTACCAATGTACAGACTGTGACTGTATAATGTTGATCCAAACATACCATGTGTACCAATGTACAGACTGTGAATGTGTAATGTTAATCCAAACATACCATGTCTACCAATGTACAGACTGTGTAATGTTAATCCAAACATACCATGTCTACCAATGTACAGACTGTGACAGTGTAATGTTAATCCAAACATACCATGTGTACCAATGTACAGACTGTGACAGTGTAATGTTAATCCAAACATACCATGTCTACCAATGTACAGCCTGGACTGCTGTGATGTTAATCCAAACATACCATGTCTACCAATGTACAGAATGTGACAGTGTAATGTTAATCCAAACATACCATGTCTACCAATGTACAGACTGTGTAATGTTAATCCAAACATACCATGTCTACCAATGTACAGACTGTGACTGTATAATGCTAATCCAAACATACCATGTCTACCAATGTACAGACTGTGACAGTGTAATGTTAATCCAAACATACCATGTCTACCAATGTACAGACTGTGACAGTGTAATGTTAATCCAAACATACCATGTCTACCAATGTACAGACTGTGACAGTGTAATGTTAATCCAAACATACCATGTGTACCAATGTACAGACTGTGACAGTCTAATGTTAATCCAAACATACCATGTCTACCAATGTACAGACTGTGTAATGTTAATCCAAACATACCATGTCTACCAATGTACAGCCTGGACTGCTGTGATGTTAACCCAAACATACCATGTCTACCAATGTACAGACTGTGACAGTGTAATGTCAATCCAAACATACCATGTCTACCAATGTACAGACTGTGACTGTATAATGCTAATCCAAACATACCATGTCTACCAATATACAGACTGTGAGTGTGTAATGTTAATCCAAACATACCATGTCTACCAATGTACAGACTGTGACAGTGTAATGTTAATCCAAACATACCATGTCTACCAATGTACAGACTGTGACTGTATAATATTGATCCAAACATACCATGTCTACCAATGTACAGACTGTGTAATGTTAATCCAAACATACCATGTCTACCAATGTACAGACTGTGACAGTGTAATGTTAATCCAAACATACCATGTCTACCAATGTACAGACTGTGACTGTATAATGTTAGTCCAAACATACCATGTCTACCAATGTACAGACTGTGACTGTATAATATTGATCCAAACATACCATGTCTACCAATGTACAGACTGTGACAGTGTAATGTTAATCCAAACATACCATGTCTACCAATGTACAGACTGTGACTGTATAATGTTAATCCAAACATTCCATGTCTACCAAAGTACAGACTGTGACTGTATAATGTTAATCCAAACATACCATGTCTACCAATGTACAGACTGTGACAGTGTAATGTTAATCCAAACATACCATGTCTACCAATTTACAGCCTGGACTGCTGTGATGTTAATACAAACATGCCATGTCTACCAATGTACAGACTGTGTAATGTTAATCCAAACATACCATGTCTACCAATGTACAGACTGTGACTGTATAATGCTAATCCAAACATACCATGTCTACCAATATACAGACTGTGAATGTGTAATGTTAATCCAAACATACCATGTCTACCAATGTACAGACTGTGACTGTATAATGTTGATCCAAACATACCATGTCTACCAATGTACAGACTGTGACTGTATAATGTTAATCCAAACATACCATGTCTACCAATGTACAGACTGTGTAATGTTAATCCAAACATACCATGTCTACCAATGTACAGACTGTGACAGTGTAATGTTAATCCAAACATACCATGTGTACCAATGTACAGACTGTGACAGTGTAATGTTAATCCAAACATACCATGTCTACCAATGTACAGACTGTGTAATGTTAATCCAAACATACCATGTCTACCAATGTACAGACTGTGACTGTATATTGCTAATCCAAACATACCATGTCTACCAATATACAGACTGTGACAGTGTAATGTTAATCCAAACATACCATGTCTACCAATATACAGACTGTGACAGTGTAATGTTAATCCAAACATACCATGTCTACCAATGTACAGCCTGGACTGCTGTGATGTTAATAGAAACATGCCATGTCTACCAATGTACAGACTGTGACTGTATAATGTTGATCCAAACATACCATGTCTACCAATGTACAGACTGTGACTGTATAATGTTGATCCAAACATACCATGTGTACCAATGTACAGACTGTGAATGTGTAATGTTAATCCAAACATACCATGTCTACCAATGTACAGACTGTGTAATGTTAATCCAAACATACCATGTCTACCAATGTACAGACTGTGACAGTGTAATGTTAATCCAAACATACCATGTGTACCAATATACAGACTGTGACAGTGTAATGTTAATCCAAACATACCATGTCTACCAGTGTACAGACTGTGACTGTATAATGTTGATCCAAACATACCATGTCTACCAATGTACAGCCTGGATTGCTGTGATGTTAATCCAAACATACCATGTCTACCAATGTACAGACTGTGACAGTGTAATGTTAATCCAAACATACCATGTCTACCAATGTACAGACTGTGTAATGTTAATCCAAACATAGCATGTCTACCAATGTACAGCCTGGACTGCTGTGATGTTAATACAAACATACCATGTCTACCAATGTACAGACTGTGACAGTGTAATGTTAATCCAAACATACCATGTCTACCAATGTACAGACTGTGTAATGTTAATCCAAACATACCATGTCTACCAATGTACAGACTGTGACAGTGTAATGTTAATCCAAACATACCATGTCTACCAATGTACAGACTGTGTAATGTTAATCCAAACATACCATGTCTACCAATGTACAGACTGTGACTGTATATTGCTAATCCAAACATACCATGTCTACCAATATACAGACTGTGACAGTGTAATGTTAATCCAAACATACCATGTCTACCAATATACAGACTGTGACAGTGTAATGTTAATCCAAACATACCATGTCTACCAGTGTACAGACTGTGACTGTATAATGTTGATCCAAACATACCATGTCTACCAATGTACAGCCTGGACTGCTGTGATGTTAATCCAAACATACCATGTCTACCAATGTACAGACTGTGTAATGTTAATCCAAACATACCATGTCTACCAATGTACAGACTGTGACTGTATAATGTTGATCCAAACATACCATGTCTACCAATATACAGACTGTGACAGTGTAATGTTAATCCAAACATACCATGTCTACCAATGTACAGCCTGGACTGCTGTGATGTTAATACAAACATACCATGTCTACCAATGTACAGACTGTGACTGTATAATGTTAATCCAAACATACCATGTCTACCAATGTACAGACTGTGACTGTATAATATTGTTCCAAACATACCATGTCTACCAATGTACAGACTGTGACAGTGTAATGTTAATCCAAACATACCATGTCTACCAATGTACAGACTGTGACAGTGTAATGTTAATCCAAACATACCATGTCTACCAATGTACAGACTGTGACTGTATAATGTTGATCCAAACATACCATGTCTACCAATGTACAGCCTGGATTGCTGTGATGTTAATCCAAACATACCATGTCTACCAATGTACAGACTGTGACAGTGTAATGTTAATCCAAACATACCATGTCTACCAATGTACAGACAGTGTAATGTTAATCCAAACATACCATGTCTACCAATGTACAGACTGTGTAATGTTAATCCAAACATACCATGTCTACCAATGTACAGACTGTGACAGTGTAATGTTAATCCAAACATACCATGTTTACCAATGTACAGACTGTGACAGTGTAATGTTAATCCAAACATACCATGTCTACCAATGCACAGACTGTGTAATGTTAATACAAACATACCATGTCTACCAATGTACAGACTGTGACTGTATAATGTTAATCCAAACATACCATGTCTACCAATGTACAGACTGTGACTGTATAATATTGATCCAAACATACCATGTCTACCAATGTACAGACTGTGACAGTGTAATGTTAATCCAAACATACCATGTCTACCAATGTACAGCCTAGACTGCTGTGATGTTAATACAAACATGCCATGTCTACCAATGTACAGATTGTGACAGTGTAATGTTAATCCAAACATACCATGTCTACCAATGTACAGACTGTGACAGTGTAATGTTAATCCAAACATACCATGTCTACCAATGTACAGACTGTGTAATGTTAATCCAAACATACCATGTCTACCAATGTACAGACTGTGACTGTATAATGTTAATCCAAACATACCATGTCTACCAATGTACAGACTGTGACAGTGTAATGTTAATCCAAACATACCATGTCTACCAATGTACAGCCTGGACTGCTGTGATGTTAATAGAAACATGCCATGTCTACCAATGTACAGACTGTGACTGTATAATGTTGATCCAAACATACCATGTCTACCAATGTACAGCCTGGATTGCTGTGATGTTAATCCAAACATACCATGTCTACCAATGTACAGACTGTGACAGTGTAATGTTAATCCAAACATACCATGTCTACCAATGTACAGCCTAGACTGCTGTGATGTTAATACAAACATGCCATGTCTACCAATGTACAGACTGTGACAGTGTAATGTTAATCCAAACATACCATGTCTACCAATGTACAGACTGTGACAGTGTAATGTTAATCCAAACATACCATGTCTACCAATGTACAGACTGTGTAATGTTAATCCAAACATACCATGTCTACCAATGTACAGCCTGGACTGCTGTGATGTTAATACAAACATACCATGTCTACCAATGTACAGACTGTGACAGTGTAATGTTAATACAAACATACCATGTCTACCAATGTACAGACTGTGTAATGTTAATCCAAACATACCATGTCTACCAATGTACAGCCTGGACTGCTGTGATGTTAATACAAACATACCATGTCTACCAATGTACAGACTGTGTAATGTTAATCCAAACATACCATGTCTACCAATGTACAGCCTAGACTGCTGTGATCTTAATACAAACATGCCATGTCTACCAATGTACAGATTGTGACAGTGTAATGTTAATCCAAACATACCATGTCTACCAATGTACAGACTGTGACAGTGTAATGTTAATCCAAACATACCATGTCTACCAATGTACAGACTGTGACTGTATAATATTGATCCAAACATACCATGTCTACCAATGTACAGACTGTGTAATGTTAATCCAAACATACCATGTCTACCAATGTACAGACTGTGACTGTATAATGTTAATCCAAACATACCATGTCTACCAATGTACAGACTGTGACAGTGTAATGTTAATCCAAACATACCATGTCTACCAATGTACAGCCTGGACTGCTGTGATGTTAATAGAAACATGCCATGTCTACCAATGTACAGACTGTGACTGTATAATGTTGATCCAAACATACCATGTCTACCAATGTACAGACTGTGACTGTATAATGTTGATCCAAACATACCATGTGTACCAATGTACAGACTGTGAATGTGTAATGTTTTGGTAAATTTTGGTCTATGTAGTGTAAAAACTGTGGGAGGAGTTAGGGTGGCAAATCTTGCTATAATAATAATAATAATAACTAGAAAAGTTACAATTTCTGGGGAAATTGTGTGAAGTGTTCTTGCCTCCACCTGTAGTCTACAACTGGAGTGGGCGGAGTAACTGTTATCATTTACATAGCACATTTAATTGCAACGTTGCTGCACAGTTACATTAAACCATACATTTATAAAAACATTAGCAGGTGTTCAAAAGGCCCTCTCTATGACATCACTTGCTGCTGCAGCTTGACACAGGTCAGAGTATTTTGGCGGTTGCCATCTTCAAACGGTCGTATCTTAAAAACTATAACTCCTACAGTGAAGAGCTTCATATTGTGAGAATCACAAGACCCAGACCTACATTTTGATGCATAGTATGTCTCTGAAGTATTAAAAATGAAGGCACAGTCGCAGTTTAGAAATTGGACTTCAAATTTGAGCTTTGTAGAGGGAAGTTTCAATGAATGTCAATGGACGGCGTTAGTTGCAAACAAATGATTATATTGTGAAAACTATCAGGACTATGGTTTAGCCGTTGACATGTTTAGTGGCAGCAGGGATAGCTGAACGTTTTGATATAAGATTTGTGTAGGTGGGCCTGAAAATAAGGGAGTGGTGGCAGTTTAGAAATCATGTCCTGATTTTTCAGCTTTTGCCAGCTCCCACTCTAGCTTTGCTATTCATTCCTATGGGACAAATTTAGCCACAAGAACGCATTTATATTCCGGTGGAACCATTCGCTAAACGCTCCACAAAGTAATAGCAATCCGATCGGGAACAATCTGCGCTTTGGTAAATTTTTGGTCTATGTAGTGTAAAAACTGTGGGAGGAGTTAGGTGGCAAATCTTACAATAATACACAATATATATGTGAGATAAATATTATGGTCTTATGGCAAGAACATCAGAAAGTTACAATTTCTGGGGAAATTGTGTGAAGTGTTCTTGCCTCCACCAGTAGTCTAGCACATTTAATTGCAACGTTGTTGCACAGTTATATTAAACCATACATTTATAAAAACATTAGCAGGTGTTCAAAAGGCCCTGTCTATGACATCACTTGCTGCTGCAGCTTGACACAGGTCAGAGTATTTTGGTGGTTACCATGTTCAAACGGTCGTATCTTAAAAACTATAACTCCTACAGTGAAGAGCTTTATATTGTGAGAATCACAAGACCCAGACCTACATTTTGATGCATAGTATGTCTCTGAAGTATTAAAAATGAAGGCACAGTCGCAGTTTAGAAATTGTACTTCAAATTTGAGCTTTGTAGAGTGAAGTTTCAATGAATGTCAATGGACGGCATTAGTTGCAAACAAATGATTATATTGTGAAAACTATCAGGACTACGGCTTAGCCGTTGACATGTTTAGTGGCAGCAGGGATAGCTGAACGCTTTGATATAAGATTTGTGTAGGTGGGCCTGAAAATAAGGGAGTGGTGGCAGTTTAGAAATCATGTCTTGATTTTTCAGCTTTTGCCAGCTCCCACTCTAGCTTTGCCATTCATTCCTATGGGATAAATTTCGCCACAAGAACGACTATATTCCGTGAACCATTCGGCGAAACGTTCCACAAAGTAATAGCAACCATCGAAACAATCTGCACGCTTTGCAAATTTTAATAATGTAGTAAAACCGTGGGAGGAGTTAGGGTGGCAAATTTTGCTATAATAATAATAATAATAATATATATGTGAGATAACATTATGGAATTTTGCTATGCAAGAACACTTAACTAGAAAAGCTACAATTTCTGGGGAAATTGTGTGAAGTGTTCTTTGCTCCATCTGTAGTCTACAACTGGAGTGGGCGGAGTAACTGTTATCATTTACATAGCACATTTAATTGCAACGTTGTTGCACAGTTACATTAAACCATACATTTATAAAAACATTAGCAGGTGTTCAAAAGGCCCTGTCTATGACATCACTTGCCGCTGCAGCTTGACACAGGTCAGAGTATTTTGGTGGTTGCCATCTTTCAAACGGTCGTGATCTTAAAACTATACCCTACAGTGAAGAGCTTTATATTGTGAGAATCACAAGACCCAGACCTACATTTTGATGCATAGTATGTCTCTGAAGTATTAAATCAAAGGCACAGTCGCAGTTTAGAAATTGCACTTCAAATTTGAGCTTTGCAGAGGAAGTTTCAATGAAAGTCAATAATGGATCTGCATTAGTTGCAAAACAAATGATTATATTGTGAAACTATCAGGACTATGGCTTCACGCGACATGTTTAGTGGCAGGAGGGATAGCTGAACGTTTTGATATAAGACGGTGTAGGTGGGCCTGAAAATAAGGGAGTGGTGGCAGTTTACAAACATGTGCAGTGATGTTAATCCAAACATACCATGTCTACCAATTTAGCTTTGCTAGACAAATTCTCGTGTAATGTTCCAAAATATACCCGAAACAATACCAAATGTCTATGTAGTGTAATGTTAAATGTACTAGAACATACCATTCCCATAGTCTACAACTGCTAATAAAACATACCATGTCATAGCATATACAGACTGTGAATGTGTAATGTTAATACCAAACATACCATGTCTACCAATGTACAGACTGTGACAGTGTAATGTTAATCCAAACATACATGTCTACCAATGTACAGACTGTGACAGTGTAATGTTAATCCAAACCATACCATGTCTACCAATGTACAGACTGTGACAGTGTAATGTTAATCCAAACATACCATGTGTAGCAATGTACAGACAGTGACAGTGTAATGTTATCCAAACATACCATGTCTACCAAATGTACAGACTGTGTAATGTTAATCCAAACATACCATGTCTACCAATGTACAGCCTGGACTGCTGTGATGTTAATCCAAACATACCATGTCTACCAATGTACAGACTGTGACTGTGTAATGTTAATCCAAACATACCATGTCTACCAATGTACAGACTGTGACTGTATAATGCTAATCCAAACATACCATGTCTACCAATATACAGACTGTGAGTGTGTAATGTTAATCCAAACATACCATGTCTACCAATGTACAGACTGTGACAGTGTAATGTTAATCCAAACGTACCATGTCTACCAATGTACAGACTGTGACAGTGTAATGTTAATCCAAACATACCATGTCTACCAATGTACAGACTGTGTAATGTTAATCCAAACATACCATGTCTACCAATGTACAGACTGTGACTGTATAATGCTAATCCAAACATACCATGTCTACCAATATACAGACTGTGACAGTGTAATGTTAATCCAAACATACCATGTCTACCAATGTACAGACTGTGATTGCAGTAATTTAAATCCAAACATACCATGTCCACCAGTGCAACGTAGAGAAATATACCAGCTGTAGCAGCAAATATCCAGGGTGTGACCTCAGCTGAGCTTTGACTGACCAAAACTCCCGTCAGCAAACCCAGGTATGACAGGAATGCTGAAACCAGGCTGAATAAAAGTACCCGCTTTACTGGCACTCCAGTCTGTAGCAAAACGGCAAAATCACCTAAAACAAAACATTTACAGGGGAACAGGTCAGATCAAAGATTAACAGGGAAATATGCTTTACAGGTGAAGGAGGGGCAATAGGCAGCCCCTTAAATTCCAGCACATGTGGGCACATTCAAATTCTCGGTACTGGCAGAACTAATGTGGAAGAGGTTTTTTGCTCACCCACTATAAGTTGTAGTGCAACTTCCACAATACTTTACCAGCTGGGGATCTACCATTTGCCCATCCTTGCAAGATTTGTGTGTTTCATTGTAAGCATTTTTTTAATGGAGCATGCGTGTGAATGTAGGAGTGTATTTGTGTGTAGTGTTGGCATTTGAAAGGACAGGTGTACTTGTGTGTAGTGTTGGCATTTGAAAGGACAGGTGTACTTCTGTGTAGTGTTAGCTGTTGAATGTAAGAGCATGTTTGTATGTAGTGTTGACATTTAAATGATGGCATGCATTTGTGTGTAGTGTTGGTTTTTGAATGCAGGGTTGTGTTTATTTATAGTGCTGGTGCTTTAACACAGAGGTGTGTTTTTATGTAGTGTTGTCGTTTGACGTTTCTTGGACCCAAATTCACAGGTTGGGCTGGCTAAGAGTAACTGGAATTGTATCCAACATCAGATGTATTGTCAGAGCTAATCTATTCTTTTTAAATAAATGGTGTTCGCAATAAAATGAATGATCTGTTAATCCCTTTATAAGTCGGACTTTGCAGTTAGCTACATCACAAAATGTACAGCGGAACGAAAAATCGGTCAGGTTTCTATTGTGTATTAGGAAATGTTGCTTAGTTCCTCAATATCCATTTCTGGCTCCACTCTATTCACAAATACTCAAATTAGAGTGCTCCACCTCCTTTCATAGACTTCTACCCTTTTAGCCATTTCCACCAGAATTAGGGTTGCCACCAGGCTGGTGTGGAAGTCTGTCTAGCAGTGCCACTCAGAGAGTGTTAAAGAAATAAAGGCAGAATATTCACCTCTATTTATATATATATATATAAAATACAGAAACATACATTGCCATATACACACAATTACAACATAATAGACGCACAGAGACGCACACACTTAGGCAATGACACACTGCTACACACACTCATTTAGAGATTATACACACACAACACACTATATGAGCGGTCAGATATAGTACACACAATGTAAGTATTTTATTAGTGATTACGGGACTTCCCCCATTCCTGATGTGTATTTTTTCTTTTTACATCACTCAGCCAGATGTAACGTAACATCAGGTGATGTGTCCTGTGATGTCATGTAAATATAAGGTATTCTTTGCGTCGACTAGCCTCTCTGTAAAGTAATACTTCCTAAATTATTTTAAAACCGTTGCTCCGCTAACTTAAGTTTAATGGGAAAAAAAAAAAAAAAAAAGTAAGGGCAGATTGTGGCCCGAGAGAATTCTCTTCGGTTCTCCTGGTTCGGTACCTTCCCTCTCCTGAATTCAGCAAAACGCTCACGGTCGTTTGCAAGAACTAACTTCCGAACAGACTTCAGCGGTACTCTGGATCTGTTTTAGGCTATGTGACCTTGCAGTTCCCAGTCATATTGGTCCCGTGTTTTGACCCCCTTGCCCATCCGCCAGGAGTGCGCTTTTTGGAGGGAGGGTGCCCAAGACTGTAAGGTACAAACATTCCCGAGAGCCAGGAGATGCACCCTGTAGTTAGTCCGCAGGAGCTCCCGGAAGTTGACCGGCAAAGTACTAAAAACTATTTTGGGCATAGGACCACGTGTGTGGCCAGTCAGAACTTTGCCTTTGTGGTGATTCCCCTACACTGCATGTACCTGAGCACTCAGATTAGAGCTATTTGGGGATGTAGGACTTGTGGGGTTCCTATCTGTTTTATACATGTTTTGGGGTGTTTTTATGTTTGTACTTTGTTTGTCTGGGAGAAAACATAGTTTAAGCAAAGGCAAAAACTCACTTATCTCCCAGACACAGAGACTCCTGGGCAGGGTTACTGTATGTCTGAATAAAGACCCCATGCTGGGGTTCGTGTATATAAGCAGGCAACCTGGCCTGAATAAATCAGTACATTTTTCACCTTTCATTCAGTCTCGACTAGTGTTTGTGTGGACAAGCTATACTCTCTGCAGGAGAGCTTAATCATTTGAAGTTGTATCATTTGAAGCTGTTCCAGGGCAGGAAGCGACATAAAGACCCCGGTCAAGCTGCGGCAACTAGGGGCTGGCGTGCTGCTTGTGTCCTGATGATAGCTCGGTAGTGTGTTTGGCGGAGATACCTAGTCATGGTACCAGGCAATCTGCCACACAGATAAAGACCCATGAAGCTAAGACATCGGGAACTCCTGCAAGACTCCCAATGATCCACATGGGACAAAATGGCGCTGGGTGATGAAGAATCCTCCTTATCGTCGGAGGACATTCCTTTTGACCTGGGAGCAGTAGCAAAACACGTGGACTGCCAAAAGCACAGCCACCTCAGCAGCCTAACACTAATAAGCCAGTCACCGCCGTACAGCTGAAAAGCATGTTGGCAGAGCTCAGAACTAATATCGATGCAGACATTGCCCACTTCAAGGACGCCATTAAAGGCGCAACCTCTCGGATAACCCTAATGGAGGCCTCCACATGTACCCAAGACTCGAGGATAACCTCCCTAAAGCACAAGGTTGCTGTTCAACACTGTGTTGCCCCCAAAACAGGCCAAGGCGGTGAAGCTAGATGGCCTGTTCAGAATGACAAAGCCGTCTATAGCACCAAGGAATGCCCAAGCAGACCTTATACTGCACTTCCAGTCACAGCAGAATAAAGCCCTTACCCTCAACGCCACTAGGGGGAAGACGCCATTACAATTCGAGAGGTCCACATTTATGCTGTACCCGGACCACAAATGTCTGGATTAGGTCTACCAAGACCTAACAAGCTTCACCACCAACAGCTGCAGTTACTCATGAACTGTTGAGCTCATCTTGACTTATTTTCTGTTTCTCTTGTTATTTTAGTGAGAGCTAGTAACCACTGACTACTTTCCTGTTATACCAACATCCAAGACCTCTAGCGGCCCGATTTCCCTCCTTGTTCATTCCCTCATTTTAGGCATGTATGATGTGCTTTTTTTTAAAAAAATTACGTACCCAGCTCATGAGGCAACTCATGACAGAATACAGCAACAGAAGTGCTGAGACCACCAGAAAAGCCAGAAGAGAAAGCAGCCCCTATAACAGAGAGCACAAATTGCAGTCACATTAGATTTACATTGTAAATGGGAAAAAAAGGTATTTACTAGGTCTGTTTGAGATGGTGTCATACCTATAGCTAATCCATCAGTGAAGTTATGGATCCCATCTCCAAGTAATACCATCCATACAAATTCTGCAATGCCCCCTGCTCCTGCAGAATGAGAGTGGCCATGGTTATCCACAGATGCACGAGATTCATGGTCTCTCAGTCCCTCTTCATGAAATTCATTTCTAACCTGTAGATCATCAGCTGCACCAGTAACCTCACAGAACTCAGCATCTGCAAACAAAAACAAGAAAAGATTAATTGTAAATTAAGAGCCATTAACAGTTTCAGGAACAATGATATCGTGTGTCTTTATTACAAATGGTCCTTAACACCACACAGCTTGTCCTAACTCGTGAGTAAGTCATTCCATTTACATATTGAAATATTTATATGAAAGGCCGTGCAGAGAGTATTTGTAAATTGAACATTTTCAAATTGGACAAAACTGGTAAGTGGAGTTCCTCATGGCTCTGTCCGGGGCCCGTTTCTATACGATCTTGATCATAGCTGTGCGCAGCCTGTTGCGTTAAGGTGTGCACCCTAAAGCACAAACTCACGCCGTGTGTATATGTATTTTTATATACACATACACACACATACACATATATATATATATACATACAGTTGCAAGAAAAAAAAAAGTATGTGAACCCTTTGGAATGATATGGATTTCTGCACAAATTGGTCATAAAATGTGATCTGATCATCATCTAAGTCACAACAATAGACAATCACAGTCTGTTTAAACTAATAACACACAAAGAATGAAATGTTGCCATGTTTTTATTGAACACACCATGTAAACATTCACAGTGCAGATGGAAAAAGTATGTGAACCCCTAGAATAATGACATCTCCAAGAGCTAATTGGAGTGAGATGTCAGCCAACTGGAGTCCAATCAATGAGATGAGATTGGAGGTGTTGGTTACAGCTGCCCTGCCCTATAAAAAACACACACCAGTTCTGGGTTTACTTTTCACAAGAAGCACTGCCTGATGTGAATGATGCCTCGCACAAAAGAGCTCTCAGAAGACCTACGATTAAGAATTGTTGACTTGCATAAAGCTGGAATTGGTTATAAAAGTATCTTCAAAAGCCTTGCTGTCCATCAGTCCACGGTAAGACAAATTGTCTATAAATGGAGAAAGTTCAGCACTGCTGCTACTCTCCCTAGGAGTGGCCGTCCTGTAAAGATGACTGCAAGAGCACAGCGCAGACTGCTCAATGAGGTTAAGAAGAATCCTAGAGTGTCAGCTAGAGACTTACAAAAGTCACTGGCAAATGCTAACATCCCTGTTAGCGAATTTACAATACGTAAAACACGAAACAAGAATGGATTTCATGGGAGGATACCACAGAGGAAGACACTGCTGTCCAAACAAAACATTGCTGCACGTTTACAGTTTGTACAAGAGCACCTGGATGTTCCACATCAGTACTGGCAAAATATTCTGTGGACAGATGAAACAAAAGTTGAGTTGTTTGGAAGAAACACACAACACTGTGTGGCGAAAAAAAAGGCACAGCACACCAACATCAAAACCTCATCCCAACTGTGAAGTATGGTGGTGGGGGCATCATGGTTTGGGGCTGCTTTGCTGCGTCAGGGCCTGGACGGGTTGCTATCATTGAAGGAAAAATGATTTCCCAAGTTTATCAAGACATTTTGCAGGAGAAGTTAAGGCCATCTGTCTACCAGCTCCAGTTGAAGCTCAACAGAGGATGGGTGTTGCAACAGGACAATGACTCAAAGCATAGAAATAAATCAACAACAGAATGGCTTAAACAGAAGAAAATACGCCTTCTGAAGTGGCCCAGTCAGAGTCCTGACCTCAACCCGATTGAGATGCTGTGGCATGACCTCAGGAAAGCGATTCACACCAGACATCCCAAGAATATTGCTGAACTGAAACAGTTCTGTAAAGAGGAATGGTCAAGAATTACTCCTGACCGTTGTGCACGTCTGATCTGCAACTACAGGAAACGTTTGGTTGAAGTTATTGCTGCCAAAGGAGGTTCAACCAGTTATTAAATCCAAGGGTTCACATACTTTTTCCACCTGCACTGTGAATGTTTACATGGTGTGTTCAACAAAAACATGGCAACATTTCATTCTTTGTGTGTTATTAGTTTAAGCAGACTGTGATGGTCTATTCTTGTGACTTAGATGATGATCAGATCACATTTTATGACCAATTTGTGCAAAAATCCATATCATTCCAAAGGGTTCACATACTTTTTCTTGCAACTGTACATACACACACACATACATATATATATATATATATACAAATATACATAGGTGCAGTGTGTGTGATTGTGAGCGGTGCAGCGTGTAAGGAGTGCAGTGTGTGTGTGTAATTGTGAAAGGTACAGTGTGGTGTAATTGTGAAGGGTGCAGTGTGTGTAATTGTAAGGGGTACAGTGTGTGTAATTGTGAGGGGTGCAGTGTGTGGGCGGTACAGTGTGTGTAATTGTGAGGGGTACAGTGTGTGTAATTGTGAGGCAAGCAGTGTGTGTGGGGTACAGTGTGTATGATTGTGAGGGGTTCACTGTGTGGGCGACAGGGGTTAGGTGGGTGGAGGGGTGGAGGAGCAGTGACAGGGGGTGGGGGAGTGGAGGGGCAGCGACAAGGAGTAGGGACTGGAGGTGCAGCAACAGGGGGTAGGGGGGTGGAGGGGCAGTGACAGGAGGTAGCGGGGTAGACGGTTAGTGACGGGGTTAGGGGGGGTAGAGGTGCATTGACAGGGGTTGTGGGGGAAGAGGGGTAGTGACAGGAGTTAGGGGGGTAGAGGGGCAGTGGCACGTCTGCATTCAAATGCCAATACGTGCAAACACATCCGTACATTCACTCACACATACTCCATACAAAAACATGCTTACATTCAAACACAGAAACACTGCTCGATGCTAAATACATTAAAAAAAATGAGGGGTGGGGGGCAGTGTGTGACAGGGGGCTAAATACATAAAAAAAATGAGGGGTGGGGGGTAGTGTGTGACAGGGTGTAGAAGGGGGGAGGGAGGGGGCAGTGAGTAATGAGGAGGTTTAAATACCTTCCCTGGTGGTCCAGTCACTATACAAACATACTACATACACTATACAAACACACACAGACACACACTTATACATGTGTGTCTGTGTTTTTCTGTATCTGTGTATGACTGTGTTTCTATGTAACTGCATGTGTGTACCTATGTGTCTGTGTATGTGTGCCAGTGTGTGTATATGTGAGTATAAGTGTATATGCGCATACATCTCAGCATTTCACCTACACTACACACAAATAAAACCCTACATTCATATATCAACACTACATAAAAACACACCACCATATTAAAAAAACCACACTACAGAAAAATGCACACCTGCATTCAAATGCCAATACGTGCAAACACACCCGTACATACACTCACACATGCTTACATTCAAACACAGAAACACTGCTCGGTGCTAAATACATTTAAAAAAATGCAAACACTGCTTGGTGCTAAAAATACATTTAAAGAATTTGCGTTTTTTAAAAAACATTTTTAAGCCAAATATAGGATCCGCCCCAGGTGCCAAATGCGCCAGGTACGCCCCTGCGTCAGAGGGTATATGATGGTAGTATACAAATAAATACAACTCTGTACAAACCACTCTGTGCTAACCCATTCATTAGCAGGAACATACAACAGACAAGAGGTCACCAATTGAGACTGGAATAAAGGCGTTTTCACGTAAAGCAGAGGAAAGGGAAGAACAATAAAGATGTGAATATCTCTGCTTAACCAAGTTGTCTTATGAAATTCTATAGATATGTTTTTAAAAAGGCTTGGATGCTTTTTTTAAACAGAATATTCAAGGATATAAATGATATCTATTTGAACAAGCTGATGAATCATAGGGAAATCTGTTTGCCATTGTAGCGGAGCACTAATTTAACATACACTTTCTCCGCTAGTATTCCAAGTGTTGCTCAGGATCAAGTAAATTATTATTATTATTATTAGGAAGAACAGCATAAGTAGTAAATAAAATAATCCACAAATATCCCATCACCTTTCCTAATAACTGGACGACACACAGTATCAGGAGCAGAACTTATGTTTAATGCCACATACCCTGCTTTTATGCAAGGGAGACACCCAGAGAAAATTATACATTCTCCAATCACAAACTGGTTACAGCCCACACATCCCCTCCACTTAGCCTGAGAGATAACACAATTAACTGTACATTTGAAACACACATTTTTTCCCGTTTTCTGGATGTACCCCAAGACTATGACATACACCCCTAAATTACATATCCCCTGATAGCCCTGATCTGGGTGAGCAACATACTCAAAAATCACCCAGATCGGATCAGGGGTTCGGGAATTTCTTGGAGGTCTTCATTTTACCGACCGCACACAAGGCAGTAGCCGAAAGGAGTTCCATGTGTTTTGGCCTTGCGGTCGGTCTCCGTTCGTGAGGTGAAGAACACGAAAATAGTCAATATAATGGGCTCTGCCTAGGTTCGTATGAATCCCCTTGTTCTTGGGTATCTTTTTACCGAATGTTGTGCCGTTTGTGTGTTTTCCCACGAACTGGTGGAGGCATGGAGGTCTCTGCGTTGTTTGCGTGGTCGAGTGTCCGATTTGGGTTCCAGACACTCAATGACCAAACACTGCTGGTGCGTTCGTTTGACAAAATGGCCGCCACCACGTGTTCACATGTCGAACGGCGCCCACCCAGGGTATACACAGTGTGTTCGTATGATTCTCAATCAGGATAGTGTAAATAACGATGGGGAGGTCAATTAGAGCCACGTTCCTCTCCTTTGTCGAATGGAGATATTTAACATGTTGGCAATTTGGTACCTACCGAACAACCAGACGAATGCTTCAGCAGCTCCCTGGTTACTTCTTGTCTTAAAAGTAACAAACCATAGGAAATTGAACATAATGTTGTAACAATAAAAGTTATGGACAGCCAAAATTAAGGACAGTGGATAATAGCCAAACGCGATCCGCTACAGCCATTATGGAGTCAAGGAGGACTTGCCAGGAATTTAAAGTGAAGTTCAAATTTTATGCTAAAATAGCTGAACTGAAACTAGATGTGCCTTGGGGAATTTTTCCAGTTACCCTATTTGGCCAAAAATGGAAAATAAACTTTTAATTCCAAGCTATTCACCCTGTAATATATATCCACGCTTTCAAATGTTAGCAAATTAAATCTGATATGCAAAATGAAGGCTAAAATAGTCAACTTAGATTGGAATTGGATAACCTAGCAAAGTTAGTTACTAAACTGGTAAATGACAGAGAATTGCATAATTCTACACTATGGTTCCTCTGTTTTGTATTTATATGATTTAGAGTTTTATCAAGGAAAAGACCCATCATAATTTTTACAGTGTGCACTTTGACAATTTTTTCTGTGGTATTTATGGTTTTATATAAGTGTACTTGGTGACAATACACTTTGATTGTTTTTAGGCTGAACTTGTATCATTATTTGGCTGGAGCACCCGATATCCCTTATATTTTTTTAATCTTTTTTCACATAAATATATACCAAGCTGAAAACTTACATTGCAAGACATATCTGTAGATGTGCTTCTCAGTGTAATTGGATCTAATCACATCTGGGAATGAACAAAATGTATTTGACATCAAACATGGTATGTCTATCATTTGTAATGATAATGAAAACATTTCCCAGAATACAATCCAATAAACATCAACTCGGCTCAAACTGCATATTATAGAGATTGCAGTGTATCTCAAATCTCTCTCCTATAGTTCTGGTTATAGTTTATATTGTTCCATAATAAAGGAAAGTCAAAGTTAGGACCAGGTGCCTATATAAAAAGGTATATAAATACATTTAAAATCAGTCAGACACACACACAGTGAAATAGCATCTAGACATGTGAAAATTGGTTTCGGCAATTCGGATGCTTCCGAATGTCCGAATTGCCAAAGTGACGAATTTCGAAATTTCGGAAGTGCCGAACCGAACCGAAGTGCCTAGATCTCGAATTGCCGAATTTCGGAAGTTCCGAACAGAACCAAATTGCCGAATTTCGGAAGTACCAAAGTGCTTCGAATTACTGAAAAGTGGCAAAACAGGAGAGGGAGGTAAACTAGTACCTAGTAGGGTAGGATAAAGGTAAGGAGTACAGGTAGGGTTAGGGATAGAGGTAGGGTTAGGGTTAAGGGTAGGGATAGGGGTAGAGTTAGGGTTAAGGGTAGAGTTTGGGTTAGGGTAGGGTTAGCCTTAGGGTTAGCGGTAGAGGTAGGGGTAGGAATAGGGTTAGGGTTATGTGGTAGGGTTAGGGAATTGCCGAAGTCTCGAATTCCTGAAGTGCCGAAGTCCAGTGTTCCTGAAGTGCCAAAGTGCTAAATCCCCAAAGTCCTGAATTTCGGAAGTGTCAAAGTGCCGAATTCCCGAAGTCACGAATTTCAGAAGTGCCGAATTGCCGAAGTACCAACTTTCGGAAGTGCTGAACCGAACCAATTTTTTTGCCCATGCACATCCCTAATAGCATCCCCAATACAATAAGCATCATTAGTTTATCACAACACTGATATCATTGTGGAACAAGCTAGGTTACTTACCAACTGAGTGGCCAAGATCTCGTAACACAGTTGTGCAGTCCTCAACTGGAACAGGGACTTTCCGCTTTGCATTTATCTGAAGGTTGAATGTAAACACACAAAATTTTATTGTACGACCTGTAGAAGATCATTTGAGTTTTTAAAACAGCACATACAATAGTGGGCCTAACCTATATGGAAATTCCACCTGATATTTAAATTCTTGTCCTGTTATGAGCTGTAAATGTTTGTTACTAACATATAAAGGATTAAAATTTATGACTGATTGTTGCTCTTTACCTTACAAAAGTTTCACAGCACTCACCTTCCGTCTTCTCCGTCTTTGATTCATAAGGCCCATGAGATTTTCAATAAGAAAGAGTAGGTAAATACCACCAAGTACAGTAAGTCCTTTCAGAACAGGCTCTATGGAATGTGATTCCCCACCATGTTGAGACTCTTCCTGGGCCTATAATAAAATAACTGAAGTTATGAACTTCTGACTTGGAAACTAGCTTTTATGGGAGTGGTTTAATATTCAGACAGACTGAGTTATGCTCAAATAAAAACATTTCCTATAACTTTTCATGAAACTACAAAAGGTCAATTACTTTTCAACAAAAGGCAGTATCAAATATGCTTCGAAACACATACAATATAATGCAGCATGAGCTTGTATGTGAATACAAATATAATACTCTGCATTAGTGGGGAGCGGTCACTTGAAAATATATTTCCTTAAATCAGTTGAAAACAATAAGGCAAATAGATTAAAATAAACTTCAATTTAAAGTAAAAAAAAACAAAAAAATGACATGTTTAAATGTGGAGGCAGCCATTTAAATTAGAATTTTCAACCTCTACTGATTAAAAAAAAAAAAAAATACTCAGAAAACCACAATCTGTGAGTTACAGAGTCGTTCTCAGCTTTCCACTATACAGGAAATTGAAAATGATTCTTTGAACTTTATGATGATATTCTGAGCCCAATATAACCAAATGTAATAAAGCCGAGAAGAGACCATCAGCTAATTATGTTGAAATTGGTAAAGGTGTGCAGCCCGCCACCACTACATAAGAATACTGAGCTGTGTATCTTAGTGTGAGGAGCCAATCCATTCTAAATAAATTATGCAATTTTTCCAGAAATATTAACACAGAAAAACAGTCTGCTTGGCTCCAGACCTGTAATACCACCGCGTTTATTGTACTAATTTTTTCATTAGGGTAATGGTAGTTGGGAATGAGACCCAGCATTAAACACTCTGGCCTAATGGGAATATTAAATGGTGTTGATCTCCACCCAGAATGTTTCAATTACTGGATAACCCAAAAAGCAATGGTACATATCCATATGATCAGCTGGGCAATTAAAGCATTGTTTGTCACTTTTTTTCTTATAGAAACACCTGCAGAACAAATATAATTAACAGTAGACATTCAAAACATTTAATATTATATCTCGTGGTTCTTTATAGTGTCTCAAAAATCCCTCAATTCTATTATTTTAATTAATAATAATGTAATCATTTGTACACAAACTGAAAATTCATTTGAGATTTATGCACAGTTTGCATTGATGTTAGGAGCTTATTAAACTACTTGTGAAGTGCTGTAAATAGATCCAGCTCTAGCAGGTAAGACAGCAATCTGTTATCGATTACTTGAGTTAATATTTGATGTTGGTTCAATAGCTATATTGGGCAATATAACAATTATAGGGAAGTTTGGGCAGCAAACATTTTCTAGTTTTGAAGTAAATGAAAAGGATTTTTTTTTTATAAATATTGCGTTGTAGGAGGTGTTTGACTTTCAAGGATATGTGGGGACATTGGTTTAAAATACTCAACATGCAGACGACCAGTTCCAGGCAATTTGAAGATTTTTAAAGTAGTAACTAATAAACTTTGCTATTTATCACTTTTTAATGGGCACATTTCTTGAGGTTCAAGTTTGGAAGGGCCCACGGAGAACCAAAAAGGAGTCTTCCTCTGCTACTACATCAAGCATAGGTGAATATAGGTCTCAAAAATAGTCAACAAACAAAATGGATAGTGGAGTTAGCTCTAGAGATGACAGAAAATGTCTTAATCTAGTGCTAATGATGACAGGGATGGTACACTTTAGCCACCATGACCATCTGCCACCCAGACCGGTTTCACCAATGATAGTATTTATGCAACATTTAATCATAGTGTATTTTATTTCAGACTCTGGCAATTGTTTATTTTAAACAACAGCTGTGTTTGTTGTCATCAGTAGGAGAACAGAGTGAGCAGTATTAGAAATAGAAAGATTGGAGTTCTACTTGGTATATTTCTTCTACCAGACCTGCTGGCGACAATATTGTGACCTCACATGATAGCGCTGGATGATTCCCAGAGCAGGAGGTGGTTGTCATTTTTTCCCAATGTCCATAGAGACCATTTTATGGGTAGAAATTGGCAGGTATTATCTAATACAGAGTGCTGGGGCAAGAAAGGTGAGTATCTAGCAGGATCCAGATAGGAGCATGCTCTGAAAGTTTTATATTCACAATATTGGAGTGGGATAATAGAGTGGGAGAAGGGTGGGGACCAAAAGCCCATGTTGCATCTAAAATGAAACGCATTGACAAGTAATACGTAGTAAAAGTCTTTTTTCAGTCACACGGTAAATGCCAACCATATCATTATTCTGAACATCAATGTTCTGAAACAAGGGGGGGGGGTCTGTCTTTTGTAGGGTCAACAGTGAAGTAAAAGTCCAATCCCAGTGAACAGTAAAGTAAAAAACTAACAAGATCGCGAATGTAAAGTGGAAACAAGTTTGATAAGAGTTGTGAAAATGGTAAAGTTGGCATACGTAGATGCATATATGTTCAATATGAAGTTTCTCTGATTGATAATAGTTATAACCAAAAGGAGATATCATCCTTTTTAGTCTTCGGCTGCATATATGCCAATGGTCATATACACGCTGCACATTGCTCTCATTTATTATTCGACTCCAGATTTATTCTTCTTGGAAAAATGTCATTCTGTGGCCTCTATTTAATATTTTTGGATAAGCTTTTCTGTTAGAAAAACTAACTTAAAATGATCTCCTAGAATTCTGTAGATAAAGCATTTGAAAAGTTTTTCTAACAGATTGTGATCAATTGAAAAGTTTTTTTCAAAAGTTAACTCAAGGCCTATATTTGAGAAATTTGAAGTATTTCAATATCTATTAAAAGTTACATCATAATAACCTTTCTAATACACATTTCGTGTTTGCTTAGCAAAGTATTTTAAAAGCTTAAAGCATCTAAACCGAATACAGTTACCATTATCACAAGGCATTTATTCTCTGTTTTGAGTACATAATCAGAAGAAAGCTTGTAACATACATGTGGCAGTAAGTGTAGTAAGGCATCACCGCAGAGCGTCCCCACAGCCAAGGCCACAAAAAACCTGAGAAGATAGCGGAATACGTGGCGTTTTAGAAGTGGAACAAGAGCAATGGCCAGGAGAGAAGGGGCACTGACCACCGTGACTGCAAGTGCCCCCCAACCCAACACTGAAAGACAGGAATTGGAAAGATCAATAACTCAAATTACAAATTATTATTATTATTATTTATATAGCACCAATATATCATTGAATTATATTATCAGCATGCTGATATAATTAAAATGTTTATATTTTTTCAGAATATAGAGCGACGGCTTACAAATTGCATAAAGTGATCCTGTGACGATACAGACTAATATCGTCCGTGGGTACTTCCATTAACTTGCACAGCTGATCACTATACTAAGTGCTATGACCTGGGCTTGGAGTCTCTTTACCCACCAGCATTCACATTAAAAGCAAATAGTTACAGCAAGGAAAGAGACAACCAGCAACTGCCTTTATTTTCAAACAGCATCAGGATATATAAACTACATTTCCCCTCTGCATCCTGTGCCATGTGACACACCAAAGTCTCTTGTCACATTTCTCCCCCTCGGGTCACAGGCTGCAGGAGTACAGGGCTTTTGAGTCTGTACATTTTTACTTGGGTGAAGTTAAAGCTCCTATGGTTCGTTATTGATTGTAGACACAGTTTTCAGGTTTTCCTTCTGATCTTATAGAATGTCATTTAGCTCATGTCGATGGTGTTAAAAACCCATTCGGTAACTTTCTTTAGCTTGGCTGATGCATTCTGGGATTCCTCCTGCAGGCGCATGTTGTCTTCTCGCAAAAGTTGTATTTCTGCTCTGAGACTGGCTCTTTCCAAATCCTTTCCCAGAGTGGGAGTGCCACCTTGTGTATGGTGGGTTGAGTGGAAGGGTTCACTCAATCATTGGCTCGGACGGCGGCTGCCAGCACCATTGGTACATCCTCAGAGTATGTGCCAGTGCTGCCCTGTGGCAGGGCGCTTTCTGCGTCTCCTTGGTCACGGGTGAAGTGGCTCAATAGTAGCTGTGGCTGAAGGGGTATGCAGTCTGGGAGGAAATTCTTTGCTTTAGCCCCTTGAGCCCAGGTTACGACCTGGACTAAGTAGCTCTCCATGCGCCCCAGGTCGTTTCCCAATAATACATCCACAGTAAGGCCTGGCAACACTCCCACCTGGATTCCACAGTTTGAGCAGGGGCTGCTACTTCCTCCAAGAGTCTCAAGGAAGTGCTGGGCTAATTCGCGGCTGCAGCGGCTGTAGTGGGCTTCTGGTCCTGGGTCCACTGTCGCACCTCCACTGGCAAGAGGTGGCAAAATTGCTCCAGCAGCACAATCTGCTTACAGCTCTCCTGGGAGTGCACCTTACTCCCGGTCCACCATCCCTCAAGGGCATGTGTCAACCTCCAAACACACTCTGGGTAGGTGCCTTCTGGAGTCTGCTGGATCTCCCAGAACTTTACCCTGTAGACAGAGTACCAGTCTAGCACAGCTCGCTTCACGACCTGGCAGTCCTCCAATTTCTCTCTTGGAATTGCTCTGCAGGTCTCCAGGGCTCATCCCATCAGACTTCCATCCAGTACTTGCACCCAGTCATCTGGCGGCAAGCGATTGAGCTCACATTGCCGCTCAAAGTCCTGCAGGATCTATATCATCCTTCTTCTCATCATACATAGAAAATCTGTGCACTGATACTTTCAGACGGGGGCCCCCTGTTTGGCTAGATGGGGAGACCATGGCAGCGGTCACATTTACCTGGTAATCATGATCCTCGCGGGCTAGGTCCTCTATTAATATTTAGCGAATACACTCTTTCATTTCATAATTCTTTCATTCCCTTTTTTCTTCTGATCCTTTGATCTTTTTGCAACAACTATCTAGGTGTCTCTGTAACATTAATTTCACAGGGTGTCACGTCATAATAATCTATCTCCAGTTTAGTTGATTTCTCCGTGTTTTCACAATCTCCTTACCAATAACGATTGAAATCACATTCCTTGGCGTACTGATATCCTATTGGAACATTCAAATGTTGATGTTCCAATCAGATTCAAGCAACCCCCCCTTTTTTATACCAGCAAGATCTAACATCAGGTTCCCCTCTGATGAGCTGACAAGCGAAACGCGCATCAGGGGCATTTTTGTTCCCACTAGCATTATACCTACATCCAGCTACAGAGAAAATTCTTTTATTACACCATTTGGTATTATTACTTTAATGTTATACAATCATTGTTATTAGTTATATGGAGGGAGGTGGTAACCTTTTTCTAGGGCAGCTCCAGGCCCATGCCCATGGAATAAGCCCATTGATTTAAAAAAAAAAAAAAAAAAAGAGGTATTTCTCTGGTATTTGAGGCTGCCTAGCCAGTGCTGGTATTGCAGTACTATCGGAAATACAAATGTCAGTCTGAGTATAAACAGAGACTATCCTACAATACCAGCGCAGGTCAGTAGGGGTCGCTGTGTGTGTGGAGATAGGCAGGGATAGGAAGTTACAGCATCTCCTTCCCTGCCGCTTTCTACTCACTGATCCATGGGAGAGCAGCTCTGCACAGAGAGTCCAGACAGCAGCTCCGAGCCTGCAGAGAAATCTTACAGCTCAGGTAAGTGAGGGATGGGGGAAAAGGCTGCAGGGAGACATGGGGACACTGAGACATTGGGAGACATAGGGACACTGAGACACTGGGAGACATAGGACACCTGGGGACACAGAGACACAAGGGGAAACTGTGAGATATGGGGACGGTGAGAGACTTGGGGACCCTGAGACATTGGGACACTGGGAGACATGGGAACACTGAGACACTGGGGGTCATGGGGACCCTGAGACACTAGGGGCACAGTGGCCCCTAGTCTCCCACTGTCCCCATGTCTCACAGTGTCCCCTAGTCCTGCAGTGGTCTTGGTGGTTGGAATAATCCTTTAAAGTGACACTCAGCTGACCAAATACAATACGATTAAAAAAAATATATATATATATATATATATCTTATTTAGTAGATATTTTCAGTAGCATTTCATATCAAATGTATGTGGGTGTGGGTGTCTTTCATGTATATTTTAATTATAGTAAAATAGTTTAAATACCTTGCAACAGTGATTGCTGGGAGTTTACAGGTGATGTTTGCAATTCATCGTTATGTTGGATGCACACCCGGCTATCAATCTGGTAGAGCAGAGCCGGACAAAGCAGACTGAAGTGTTTAGGAGTAATTTCTGAAACCCAGTCAAGCCCAAAATTCAGCAAGAGTTGAGTCACATTAAGACACTGTAGGGGTGGATATAAAACCCAATAATCATTAGTGCAACATTTGATCAAAATCTAACTTTCAATAATAATATTAACATTATAACATTTTGTGATTTATGCAAAGAACTAAAAGTTATATTGCGTAGGAAAGCAAGTAACATAATATTGGTAAAAAAAAAAAAAAAAAAACAGTCAGATACCTCAAACTAAATTATATTCTCTGAAATTCACCAAAAACTGAGAACACACACTGCTCAGCTTCAAAATCACAGAGTTATAAATTCATTGCAAACCTGATTAAAGGTCTGAGTTGAACGTCAGATGAAACAGAGGACGCTGGTTATTCAAAGGGAAGGGGGGCAGGGAGGCAATTGCCCCCCAAGCCGCCCTAAACCAAGGGCTGCCCACACCCAGCAAAAATAGGAAAAATCTGAATCCCCTGCCTCTGGCTTTGCCTCTGGCTCTGCCTCTGGCTCCGGCCCTGCCTCTGGCTGAGGAGTCAGATTTTTCAACTTACCTCCCTCTCCCTGTAGCCTGCAATCAGTGGAGTGGGCCGGCCTCTCCTGATGATGTCAGGAGGAGGGGGCGTGACTTCACTGCTCTTCTCCCAGGACCTCTGGGGAGTCTGGGAGAAGAGCAGAGGAAGTCACGCCCCCTCCTCCTAACATCATCAGGAGAGGCCGGCCGACTTCACTGACTGCTGCTGATTGCTGCTCCTGCTGGCTGCTGCCCACCCCGGCTGCTGCCAACCCCTCCCTGGCCTAAGGTAAGACTCAGAGAGGTGGGAAATACACTTTAGTTTTTTTTATTCCCCTAGTCAGCCCCTGTCCCCTACCTTAGTCCCTGTCCCCTCCTCAGCTCTGTCCCCTCCTCAGCGCTGTCCCCTCCTCAGCCCTGTCTCTTTGGGCCAGCCCCTGTCCCTCCTCAGCCCTGTCCCCTCCCAGCCTCCCTGTCCCTTAGTCAGCCCCTGTCCCTCTCTTCAGCCTCCTGCCCCTCTCCTCAGCTCCCCTGTCCCTTAGCTTCAGCCCCCTGCCCCCTCCCCAGCCCTGTCCCCTAATCTGCCCCTGTCCCCTACCTCAGCCCCTGTAACCCTTCAGCCCCTGTCCCTCCCCGCCCTGTCCCCTTAGCCGCCCCTCTCTGACCCCTCTTCAGCCCTGTCGCTCCCATCAGCCCCTGTCCCCTTAGTCAGCCCCTGTCCTCCTCAGCCCCCCTTCCCCTTAGCCAACCCCGTCCTCTCAGCTCCTTGTCCCTCTTTGCTCGCCCCTGTCCTCTCCCTCAGCTCTGCTGTCCTTTAGTCGCCCCTGTCCTCAGCTCCTGTCTCCCTTAGTCAGCCCCCTGACCCTCCCTCAGCACCTCGTCCTTAGCCAGCCTCCCCTGTTCCCTCCCCTCAGCCCCCTGTTCTCTCCCCTCAGCCCTCCTCAGCCCTTTGTCCTCTTGCTCAGCCTCCCCTGTCCCTCCCTCAGCCCTGTCCCTTTAGTCAGCCCCCTGATCCCGCCCCTCAGCCCTTAGCCCCTCTGCTCCTTTCCCCTTAGTCAGCCCCTGTCCCCTCCTCAACCCTTGTCCCCTTCCTCAGCCCCTGTCCCCCTTCCTCAGCCCCTGTCCCCCCCTCCTCAGCCCCATAACATCCCCACTACCGCTCCTCTCCCCAATTGCAACCCATATCACCCAAACCACAGCCCCTTTCCCAAATTGTAGCCATCAACCTGCTTCAGCCCCTACCCCGCCCTACATTTCCTAAACCTCCAATTACAGCTTATACCCTCCACTACAGCCCCTGTCCCCCCACTAAAGCCCTGCCCCCTTACTCAGCCCCTGTCTACTGTTTTTTTAAAGTGTAAAGTGTATGTCTGTGTGTGTCAGTATGTCTGTGTGTGTGTGCGTGTAAGTATATCTGTGTGTGTGTGCGCCAGTATGTCTGTGTGTGTGTGTGCGCCAGTATGTCTGTGTGTGTGTTTGTGCCAGTTTGTCTGTGTGTGTGTGTCAGTATGTCTGTCTGTCTGAGTCAGTATGCCTGTAACAGTGTGTCTTTCAGTGTGCCTGTGTGCCTGTCAGTGAGTGTGTGTTTTTTAGTGTGTGCCAAATCAGCAAGTGTGTGTGTGTGCCTGTCATTGAGTGTTTGTTTAGGTGACTGCCCACCCCTCCCCCCCTCCATGGGAAAGGTGTTTATACTCTCCTCTTGGTGCAATGGGCCACTTGACTGGATTTGCCCCCGAGGCCTAAGGCTGCCAGCCCTCCCCTGTTCATTGAAGTCCGAAAAGCCCCATACCAAACGGGTCAAACCATTGGCTGCTGTACAGTGACATTCACACTGAAACTGTGGACTTTTTTCACAGTGACTAACAATATATGGATTTTGCAAAGCAGACTCTGAATGAGCCTGAATTTGGTCCAGACTTCAGCTGGACATAAAGCTACCGGACAGCTCAAATACAGACCTGGATTGTTAAAAGCCGAGTTTGAATGCTTCAAATCAAGGCCTGGATTTTTAAAATCCAGACTATTGGCCTGCTGGCGGTGCTAGTTTTTTTTTTTTTTTTTCAAACTCTCTACAGTTAATCATGTGATGGCTGGTCAGCATTTGCTAGTCAGCTGACACACTAAAAAGTAAAAAAAAAAAATATATATATTTTTTACAAATAGTTGATCAATATGTCACTAGAATGGTCCCTTTCACCTCTAAAATAACAGTGGAGAACTGGGACAGGTCCCCCATGTGCACTCACATATGGGCTTTGGGAGAGGGCTTAAAATGTAAATTAGGCAGCAGATGCAGGCTCTGTAAGAAACATGGGACAATTTAATAATCATTGAGGGACATGTTAAGTCATGGGCCTTGGGTGGGCATTATGAAATGAGATCAGGGTGGGGGACATACCCTTGTCAAGCACCCACAAATTAGGGTCAATTCCCCCTGTCACACACACGTTGGCTAGGAGTCCCCAATCCACCCTCCAATAAGAAAAAATAGATACAGATATCACATAAATGCCAATTAGCACTTAAAATTCACTCACCCCTATCTAAAGGCACTGGAAATATCCAATATTGTGTCATGAGCCCGAATCCGCAATGTATATCCCATGACTGATAGAACTCTACCACTATATTAGTCTTGGTCACCTGTTTTGTATGGAGTATGTGTGTGTGCGCATGTAGGGGAGTATTTCTATGTCTGAATGCAGTAGTGTACTTGTGTGTAGTATTTACGTTTGATTGCATGGGTGTGTTTGGATGTAGTGTTGGCTTTTATATGTGGGTGTACATGTAGTATTGTTTTTTGAATGATGAGTTGTGTTTGTATACAATTCTGGCGTTTTAATACAGGGGTGTGTTTGTGTGTAATGTTTGCATTTGATTGCAGGGGTGTGTTTGCATGTAGTGTTGGCATTTGATTGCTGAGATATCTGCACAGACACATATACACTGCCACATACATACATACTTACACAGATCAACATACACAATGACATAAACACACTAAGATACTTATACGCAAACTGACACACACATGTATAATTTTAGCTTTCTTGGAGGTCCTGCAGCTGACCGAGTCTGATGGGAGTGTAGAGTGGGAGCAGGCTCTCTGTCTGTACCTCGTCTCTGCCTCCCCCTGCCGGCTCTCTATTTAGCTGGGAGGAAGTGACCTGCACTAACTCCCCTATCAGATCATGCAACAATCAGCTATTCAGCAGATAAACAAATTATGGCATATGCTCCATTCCATTGAAAATAATGAAGGCATGTTGGTTACTTCTGGGTCTGGATTCAGATCGTGGTAGATGATAAGTCTCAGGAATTGCAGCAAACAAAGAAAAAGACTGGGCACAGGTCTAAGATCCCGAAAGATTTAGTGGTTGAAGAGCGGCAATGTTTCAGTCAATTATAAAGGCACATTTAGGAGCCAAAATGTTGCTGCTCTTCATCCATTAAATCTGCCTGGATCTTAGAGCTGTGTCCAGTCCACTGGACTGAAGGCATGGCTACTATTTCTAACATGTACCTGTTTAACATTTCACTTTCATTCAGGATTTGCAGCAAACAGATACTGGAAATATAAATACATTTACTTTTTAACCGTTTTAATGCATTTTAACGTTTTTCTAAAATAACTGTAGTCTGACAAGGTACAATTAAAGTCACTTGTCTTCATAGAATTTAAGGATAAACCTGCTCTATCGATGCATTTCAAGTCAAAACAAAAAGGTTGTACCTGCCTCAAACTGGAGCAGTGCTGCCCTATACTGAGGAATCCTTCAAACATCTTTACAAAGAGGTGATGACCTTACATTTTCATGTTGATGGCTGTAATTGGTGTGATGACGTTGCAATAGGTGCTCCAGAATATACTGTGGAGGCCACTGGTTTTCTCCTTTGGCGCCTTTGATCCCATCTTGCAGTTTGACATTCCTGGGCTCAGGCTTCGCCGTCACTGGCTGCCCAGTTTCCACCAAAGGAACGATATCAGAACCATCTTTAATTCTAATCTCCCAAGAAAGTAACAGAAACAGGAAATGGTTAAATGTATACCATCATCTGCATAAATACGTCCTTATTACATCATTATAATAACCCTAACCAACATCCACATTGGCAATTCTGCACAAATTAATGCACCAAAGGTTTTCTGCATTGTGTGAAATATAAAATGTTTTCTCTGTGTAAGAGATGAAGTTACTAATGTTACAGAATATAACTTTTACAGAATATACACCACATGTTACATCAAATATCAGAGTAATAATAATAATAATAATAACAAAGTATTTAACCAGGAAAGGTACATTCAGATTACTCTGGTTTTCATGTACGTCCTGGGGATGTTACCGTAGCCCAACATCCAGTGTTTGTTACTATTACCCAATTTAATGGTACTCATTTTATCTACCACGGAAGGATGAAGGGCTGAGTCAACCTTATTGGGCAAATTGTGTGTAATTCTGATCAATGTTAATCCATTGATGCTGGAATTTCAAGTACTCCTCTGTCTGCTGAGTAAGTCACATTGTGTTCATGCAGACCATTACTCCAGGACTCAACATATCCCAGGCGTCTGGGATTTGTCAGCCTTTTACCTAAAGTGGGCGGCTGGGCAAACAATGGAGCCGGCCGGCTGCCCACCCGCTCAGGAAGCTGTGTAGCCCGCTGCCCGTGGGAGCATGGAGGCGGCCGGCTCAGGAAGCTGTATAGGAGGTATGGAGGTGGCAGGCTGGGGCAGTGCATGAGGGAGCATTGTAGCCGGCCGCCCTGCAAGGTATGGAGGAAACTGTGTAGCCGGCCACCAGCGGGAGCATAGAGGCAGCCACTTCAGGGAACTTTGTAGCCGCCCGCCTGCGGGAGGTATGGAGGCGGCAGCTGGGGCAGCGTGCGAGAGGGTAGTCTTCCTGCAGCTCCTTTCTGCTCCCTCATGCTGTGTAATGATGCTGGGACCCAGAATATGACATCATTCTGGCCCTGGCATCACTGCAGACAGTGCGAGGGAGCAGAGAGGAGCTGCAGGAAGATCACTGCTCCCTCGCACCCAGGAATATCAGTCCCACTGGACCCCAGGGAAAGTCCTCTCAGGTCTCCCAAACGTTGGGAGGATGGGTGGATTAGAATTAAAAATTAAAATTTGTGAGTGTTAGAGAAAGTGTTTCTGTGTGTATGTCTGTGCGTGTGTATGTCTGTGTGTGTCTCTGTCAATGAGTCTGTGTGTGTGTATGTGTGTATATGCTTGTGTGTGTGTGTGTGTGTATGTCTCTGTCAATGAGTCTGGATATTCTGCATTTTCTCTATGGGTAACAATTAGTGCCTCCATGCCGAGCACTGACACAGGACTCTAGTGGCCGTCTGAGTGACTGTCACTAGAGGTCTTAGTAGGCAGCAATGTAAATGCTGCCTTTTATTTGAAAAGGCAGTGTTTTCATTGAAAAGGCTACAGGGACAGGCTATAGGCACCAGAACAACTACATTAATCTGTAGTGGTTCTGGTGACTATAGTATCCCTTAAAAAAAACTGTCTCCTAACTTTTTTTATCTGGCTCCTAGATTCCAAACAAATTTGTCAAGCCCTGCATTACTCTGCAATTCACACTCAACTGCTCACAATACATTGTATAGTGCACTCGCTGTGTTTACAGCAATCTTTTCTTCACTTCACAAAGGACATGTACATTTGCATGCCATAGGTACAAAGACAGAAACACCTCACCTCTCCTTATCCCCAAAAAGAAGAAATTAAATACCTTTTGAGATTAATGCATATATAGATGTGCAATATATTTAGATCTTTGTTTGTCAGCAGACATGTGTTATACTTACTTGCCTTTATCCAATTCCCTGCCATCTGTTACAGGACCAGAGGTGGGTGCAAAGTGTTCTCTGCTGGAGTGCACATGGCTGTGTTTCTTGTCCTGAACTTCAAGTATATCTAAGTGTGTGACGTGATCATGTCCCAGTTCTGTGTGATGAATCTCTATTACCTACAATATAGAGCAATGTGTTTTTTTTTGTTTTCCACATCAACAGTTAGTCATGGTAAATCAGATGCTGATTTTCTAATAAGGTAGCCTTTTATGAGGAATAGAAAACTAAAATAGTTAACACGTCTCTAATTCAGTGATAGATAGACACAGTAATGTGTAGCATACAATGCACATTACAATATTACTGAGGTTTATTCACTAAACTGGACAATCACAATGGAATCGCAAATTGTACATCAGAATAATCAAAATGGAACTTTTCTAAAGCTATTTTTTACAGCTTGGTTATTAACGGATCACTACAGTGTCAGGAAAACAATCTTGCCCCCCTCCCTTGGCGCTGATGGGGTTAAAACCCTTTAGTTACTTACATTAATCCAGCCCGGTGCTGGTGACCTCTCCTCCCCCGCCAAAGTCAGCTCCCGAGTGGAGCGGAATGCGCATGTGCAGCAAGAGCCGCGCACGCATTCAAACAGTCCATAGGAAAGCATTTCTCAATGCTTTCCTATGGACGTTCTGCACACTGAATGCGATTTTCGCATCCAGCGTCGCAGAAGCACCTCTAGCAGTTGTCAGGAGACAGCCACTAGAGGCTGGACTAACCCTGCAATGTAAACATAGCAGTTTCTCTGAAACTGCTATGTTTACATCTGAAGGGTTAAAACCTGGGGGACCTGGCACCCAGACCACTTCATTGATCTGAAGTGATCTGGGTGACTATAGTGTCCCTTTAAGGTCTAGAATTTGCAAAGTTTAAATAAATTACCTTGTATGTTGTTGTGTACATATATTAAGTACAATTGTGTCTTGTACACAGAGGAAGCACCGTCACTATCCAAGAGCTTCTTAAATTTGTGTTTTTCAACAGACAATAATCAACATATAAATGCATGCCGCCACATGTCACATTGGCATCCCTTCATTCCCGGAAGTCCTTTGTATGTACTTTGTATGCATAGCACCACATACCTGCACTTTGCCAAGTCCTAGATTTTGTAGAAGCTGAGTAAGTCCACGATAAGACAAGGTATCATTCTCCCCATAGAGATGGAACAGTTGCTGGAGATAATATCCCTGCTCTTTCTCTGCATCTTCCAAAGATGGAGGGTCTTCCCCATGTTGACGTGTTTGTCCCACAAGAACCTGTCTTGCAGTTTGAGGTTTATTTGAACTGAGTTTTTTCAGAGCTGCAGTTTTCCCCAGACAATCTGAAATACACCAGAAAGTCCCAAGGCCCAAGAAAAGCATCAGCCATTCTTTGTAGAACACCATCTAAAAAATAAATATATAATTAATTAAATAAAGAGTGGGAGCACATGTAATAATTGTTAATATAATTCTACTTTGGACTAATCTTTTTATTGGCTTTTCTTTATATTTTATTTAGAATTAAATAAGGTAATATTGTAAAGCAAGACAACAACATTATTTTATACATAGATTTTTTATAGATTTTTTTTTCCGATGGGGATTGGATAATTTGCATTGCAACTATAATAATTATATGTATCAAAAATATATCACACAATCAAAATGATTCAACTCCCACTGAAAATCATGTTTGACGTCAAAATTTACAGACTTTCAATTAACAAATTAAACAAAAACAATTGAAACAGCTCAACACAATGAATGCTCCAAGTGATTTCCCCAAATTCAGCTTATAATGATTTCTCTAAAATTATTCAACCCCTTCATGGCAAGCATCTTTGCTACTTAGTAGAGTTCCCTTTCGCTGTTGTGACGTGCTGCAAATTAGATGTATAGCCAGACACCAGCTTCTGGCAGCGTTCCTGAGGAATCTTAGCCCATTGCTCATGAGCAATGACCTCCACTCCAGTAATATTCTTGGGTTTGTGTGCTGCAACCGCCTTCTTCAAATCCCACCAGAGATTTTCTATGGGTTTCAATTCAGATAACTGATGGCCACAGTAGAATTTTCCAGGACTTTTTTTGCAAACAAGCCTTGGTGCAATGAGGTATGTTTGGGATCACTGTCTTGTTGGAAGGTCCAATAATGACCAAGCTTCGGCTTCCTCACAGATGGCATGACATTTTCTCCTAGGATTTCCTGATACTTCAATGAATCCATCTTGCCTTCCACATTCTGCAGGTTTCCAGTGCCAGAGGATGCAAAGCAGCCAAAGAGCATCACAGAGCCACCACCATGCTGTAGGCAGAGTGTTCTTTTCAGCGTATATTTCATTCTTCTTCCTCCAGACATACCGCTGATCCATTGTTCTGAAAAGTTACTGTTTTATGTTATTGTTCAACAGAACAGTATCCCAAAACTTCTGTGGCTTATTTAGATGATTTTGATATTGGAGCAGATTTTTGCTTTCGGGTCAGCAGTGGTGTATGTCTTGGAGTTCTGGTATGGAAACCTGTGTTTTGTACGCCCCTTACTGTGCTCACTGAAACCTCAGTGCCTGTTGGCACCAAGTCTTACTGCAGGTCTTTTGCAGTCACTCAAGGGTTTTTCACAACCTGCCTTCTCAGAAATCTGGTTGCAGCCATCGATAACTTCATTTTTCTGCCCAGTCTAGGTAGTGTAACCACTGTACCTTCAACTTTGAACTTGTGATTCGAACAGTGTCTCTAGGAACATTCAGTGCATTTCCTATCTTTTTATATCCTGTTCCTTTTGTGAAGGACGATGATCTCTTATTTTAATTTTGTGAACCATTCCTTTCACTTAGCCATATTTCTAACATACAGTCAAACAGGACACTGCAACTGTATATATAAAATCTATTTTGAACTGTACACATATAAGCCCCCACCCCCCAACCACATATCTCCTAAAAATAAAACAAGTAATGTATGGATATTTTAAAGAACCTTTAATAATCAATAATACATTATTCATATTAATAATCTGCAGAAAATACATTTTAGAACCCTTGTTTTTTTTAAATTCAGCTAAATATTCTAGACTTCCTCTTAATGTTTTCCTTTGATTTGATTCATGTTCCCTCTCTAACTTCCAAGTTTATTTAACAAAATCCTGGAAAATATGAAGAGTAGTCTTGACCAATAAAAGTAGAAACACTTATTTAGCATTAGTAGACACCAATATGTTTGCTTCCAGTATTGTCCAATATTTATTTTAAATGTTGCCCTGTGCGCCCTGTGCAGTTATACAGGTATTGTCAACTGTCATTTCAGCCTCAAATTAAAAAATAAAAAAAACATCCAAAATGGCACACAGTCTTTTATTTTTGGGTCAATCTCTTTTTATTGAAATTGTTTTGTTATCATATTAATACAGGGTTGGATACAGAAATAAAGAAGTACGTTAGCACATAAGGTTATGTACATGTGTTATCATTTGTGAGGATATGGGTATGTATCGCAGTATTGACAGCCTAACATTGATAATTAATCATTAAGGCATGTAATGCATAGCTAGATCAGCATTGTAGTGGCTGTGTACAGGAGTGTATCCCATTATCGGGTTGTCTTCTAAATGCACCCCTAACCAATGGGGGTGGTGGGGGGGGGTATGTGTGGGTTAGTGTTGGGGAAATGCCCTGTCATCTGAAGTGGCACAGTCTTTGATACGTTTGAAAACAACAGCTTGCTAAATAATTTTTTAAAACTCAGATATCAATGATCAGCTGCTAAACTGGTTTCAATCATTTTTATCTGACAGGGCCCAGATGTCATTACCAACCGTGTCTGTCAATCACTCAAAGTTAAATGTGGAGTCAATTTGCAACCTCTCCTATTATGCATGTTTAAAAATGAACTCCCAACTGGGTGTGAAGCTTCATTTGTGAACATCAAACTGATCAGAATTAAAAACTGTTATTATAAGAGGACAAGGCGTTGAAAGACCGATTACTAAAAAAAACAAGCTTTCCTTAAAAACTGTCAAAAGGGTTAAACAATATTTCAAACAAAGTAAAAATGATGCATTATATTATATATGATTCCCTGATTCCGCTCCTGCAACAGTCAGCAAAACTAAACACGAAGCCCTGAATTGAACACTATCCAAGCAACCTACTTTTCTACCCTACCCTTACCTTTTGTGTCCTTTTTACCCCACTCCCTCTAGCATGTAAGCTCATTGAGCAGGACCCTCAATCCCTCTTGTTCCTGTGTGTCCAACTTGTCTGGTTACAAATATGTGCCTGTTAGTCCACCCATTGTACAGCGCTACGGAATTTGTTGGCGCTTTATAAATAATAATAATAAAAAAAATACAGGAAATGTGAGGAAAAGTCAAACTGTAATTTGACCACAGTCACTTCCTAGAAATATCTTATAAAATGTGGTTACATCACGATTTCAGATTTGGCTTAAAATAGGAAAAACAAAAACAAAAAAAAAAAAAAAAACATTCTCAGAAATTTGATGTGTAGTTTTGCTTTCCAATGAACTACAGCACCTATCTGTTGACAGAACTAAACTGCCTGGCTCTGCAATCCAGATGTACCTTTAACCCTTCTAGCATAGTTCATAACCACATCTTTGAAATTCCAACATTCCCTAGCCAACCCCACCCCTATATCCAACATTCGTCTTCCAGTATCCAACTTTCTATCCCTCGTTACAAATGAGAGGTGGGTTTCTTCTATAGAGTTCCACATATGTGCGATCACTACTTGACCACAGATGCTTCACAGTGAGCAGCCTCTGACTGGTTAACTCTGCCTCAACAGATAGAAAACATGTGCCAGAGATAAAGAGGAGGGTTTGCAAAGGCTGCAGACCCCAGTTCTGCAGCTTTTGCAAGCTGTTTTTGTGGGTATCCTTACAAAATAGAGTGTTTTTTCCTTTAAGGTTTATCTTCTAGAAAAAAATGTGTAGTATCCCAATACCTTACTATTATCAGCTGTGTAGATATCATCATATTCAACTCCTTGAGAGTTAATGTTACAATCACAACAGGTGAATTTAAAAAAATAGCTTATTATTTATTATGTTGTTTTTTTTAAATTGCCCTCAAATAAGTTATCAAAGTAAGAAGACAACAGGCTATGATAAAATCAGAACTCGAAAAGACACAATTAATGACAAGTCCTAAATGGTTTAAAATAATTAATAAGCCTGTTTCAATAATTTTCTGAAACATTATTAGGTTATTAGTAAAAAGGTTAATGACAGTCTTTTAATGTAGTATTAGGTAAATGGATAATGAAAGAACAAATGCTGAAGGAGTGACAACAATAAAATGTGTGCATTATGCTTAATTGAGTGGAAGTCTAACCCTTCCCAATGTCTGCAGAAACCATCACTTAGAATTGGTCTTTAATGAGAAATGCACATGGTGTACCACGCCATTTGTCCATCTGCTTCCTCTAAGAGTGGTCTTAACACAATCCTGGCTATTTCCAGCCTGTAATGGATCCCTTGTTAGGGACTAGGAGACCTGATAGATTGATGGGATAGTTTAAGAGTTTGGGAAAGACCCCCTGGGAGGAAAGAAAGTCCCATGGCATGCCTGTGAGTCCATTATTTGGTTACCACAGCCAAGGAGAAGGTACAAGCATGAATAAATCTCACAAACGGTCCCTCAAAGTAGCTGACACTGCGCTTTGTAACGGGGATGGCTTTATTTCCAGACTAAATGAAATCACAAGAAATAAATTCAGTTGAATCCGCGTGGTTATCAAGTATGCTGTAGACAGTGCAACAATTGAGGATTACAAAAGGCTAGGACATCCACATATATGTTAATGTATTGCAACTAAACTACTAGAAGGAGTGGGTGGCCAGAAATCTTTGCTTGTGAGAATGGTACGGTAGTATAGGCACCTTGTGGAAATGGTTTTTACTAAAAACAAGGATTTATGAGAACACACTGAAAATAGACAGTGGCTCAAATAGCTTGTCTCCCTGCGGTGCCCACACCCGAATCAGCCCACAGGGAATATATATATATATTTGTGTACGGGATTATAAAAAGGGGCGTATACTTAAAGTGGAGAGTTATGTTTTTTTAAAAATGAGAGTCGGTTGAGGTGTGCCGAAACCGACGAGAGGTTAGGCCTGTAAAAAAGAGGGCCCACCCTGAATTATTGATATTTAAAAGGGGTGTGGAGGGAGGGGATTTCCGGAACCGACGAAGACAGGTAAGTGCGGGTTCCCTGGGTTTAAATAGGCCTAAATCCCTCCCACAATTACAGGCATACGCCTTCTATTTGTGTACGGGATTATAAAAAGGGGCGTATACTTAAAGTGGAGAGTTATGTTTTTTAAAAATGAGAGTCGGTTGAGGTGTGCCGAAACCGACGAGAGGTTAGGCCTGTAAAAAAGAGGGCAA